TATGTGGCTGTAATTATATAATTTAGTTAATGGTATTGATTTTTAGTTTTACATGCTGCTGTATTTATATAGTTTAGTTAATGGTTTAGTTTTACATGTTGCTATATTTATATAGTTTAGTTAATGGTGTAGATTTTTAGTTTTGTATGTGGCTGTAATTATATAATTTAGTTAATGGTATTGATTTTTAGTTTTACATGTTGCTGTATTTATATAGTTTAGTTAATGGTTTAGTTTTACGTATAGCTGTAATTATATAGTTTTGTTAATGGTATCGATTTTTAGTTTTATATGTGGCTGTAATTATATAATTTAGTTAATGGTATTAATTTTTAGTTTTACATGCTGCTGTATTTATATAGTTTAGTTAATGGTTTAGTTTTACGTGTGGCTGTATTTATATAGTTTAGTTAATGGTTTAGTTTTATGTGTGGCTGTAATTATATGGTTTAGTTAATGGTATCTATTTTTAGTTTTACATGTTGCTATATTTATATAATTTAGTTAATGGTTTAGTTTTATGAGTGGCTGTAATTATATAGTTTAGTTAATGGTATAGATTTTTTGTTTTACATGTTGCTGTAATTAAATATTTTAGTTAATAGTTTGGTTTTACTTGTGGTTGCAGTTATATAGTTTAGTTAATGGTGTAGATTTTTAGTTTTATATGTGGCTGTAATTATATAATTTAGTTAATGGTATTGATTTTTAGTTTTACATGTTGCTGTATTTATATAGTTTAGTTAATGGTTTAGTTTTACGTATAGCTGTAATTATATAGTTTTGTTAATGGTATCGATTTTTAGTTTTATATGTGGCTGTAATTATATAATTTAGTTAATGGTATTGATTTTTAGTTCTACATGCTGCTGTATTTATATAGTTTAGTTAATGGTTTAGTTTTACGTGTGGCTGTATTTATATAGTTTAGTTAATGGTTTAGTTTTATGTGTGGCTGTAATTATATGGTTTAGTTAATGGTATCTATTTTTAGTTTTGCATGTTGCTATATTTATATAGTTTAGGTAATGGTTTAGTTTTATGAGTGGCTGTAATTATATAGTTTAGTTAATGGTATAGATTTATGTTTTACATGTTGCTGTAATTAAATATTTTAGTTAATAGTTTGGTTTTACTTGTGGTTGCAGTTATATAGTTTAGTTAATGGTGTAGATTTTTAGTTTTATATGTGGCTGTAATTATATAATTTAGTTAATGGTATTGATTTTTAGTTTTACATGTTGCTGTATTTTTATAGTTTAGTTAATGGTTTAGTTTTACGTATAGCTGTAATTATATAGTTTTGTTAATGGTATCGATTTTTAGTTTTATATGTTGCTGTATTTATAAAGTTTAGTTAATGGTTTAGTTTTATGTGTGGCTGTAATTATATAGTTTAGTTAATATCAATTTTCAGTTTTACACGTGGCTGTAATTAAATAGTTTAGTTAATAGTTTGGTTTTACGTGTGGTTGCAGTTATATAGTTTAGTTAATGGTGTAGATTTTTAGTTTTATATGTGGCTGTAATTATATAACTTAGTTAATGGTATTGATTTTTAGTTTTACATGTTGCTGTATTTAAATAGTTTAGTTAATAGTTTAGTTTTACGTATGGCTGTAATTATATAGTTTAGTCAATGGTATCGATTTTTTGTTTTACATGTTGCTGTATTTAAATAGTTTAGTTAATAGTTTGGTTTTATGTGTGGTTGTAGTTATATAGTTTAGTTAATGGTGTAGATTTTTAGTTTTACATGTGGCTTTAATTATATGGATTAGTTAATGGTATATATTTTTAGTTTAAAATGTAGCTGATATTATATATTTTAGTTAATGGTATAGATTTTTAGTTGTACATGTTGCTGTAATTATGTAGTTTAGGTAATGGTATTGATTTGTTAGTTGCTGTAATTATATAGTTTAGTTAATGGTTTAGTTTTACTTGTGGCTGTAATTATTTAGGTAATTGTATTGTCGTATGGCAGTTTTGTCGCACACCTTTACTTGAGGATTATTTTCCAAAACCCCTCAGGTGCTCTGAGACAGGGGTCTTCTGAATGGTGGCTCTCGTTTGTCTAGAGGCCTAACCCTCGGTTCAAACTTCCATTCAGCCTATCTCAGGAATGAGGTGACTCGAGCTCTGACTCCACAGGGTTATTATGAACTCTTGGGTACCTCTCGGCCAGACATCCCCATTACTAAATTTGCCCCCAGACTGGTAAACAACGTAACACAATCAAATATATAAACAACAGTGAGTAGGACAAGACATGAACACCTTTCTGACTACGACAATGGATTCCATTAAAACCAAACTTTTCTAAGAACAAGAAGTCTGATGAACTAAAACTTCAATGTAATAAATGCACTATAACAAGGCAGAAGAAAAGTAGCACGAAGAATCAAAATGAATGTTCAAGTTTTTGAAGAACTGAGACTAGAGAAAGCGTCCTCCTACATCGCCACGTCCATTTCTATGATCATCATGGCCCGGAGAGCGGAGACAGACTACGAAGGCACATCTGGACCTAGGCCGCTAACGTGATGTTAACTCGGACTTATCTGGTCGGATCCTACAGCTCCTCAGTGTGCCGGAAGGTAGACTTCTGCCACGTCCCGTTACTCAAAAACGTTTCCGTACGATTAAGACGACCCCTGGGATTGATCGAATAACAATCAACTTCCCAGAGACTGGTAGGTGTGACTTTCAACAACAGACAGACACATCAGGCAACGGCTGGTCAACGCAAGTCGGTTGCTTCCCAGGTGCTGGTTGGTGGGAGAACCCGACTACCACATGGATGCTTGTTGGATCTTCCGATATCCTGAAATCAACAAGGCAACACACATGAGCAAACCGCACCCAATGTACCTTGTTAATCACCCTCCTCACGCTCTCCACATGCTCAGACGTAAATGAGGGCTAGTCCAAACCATGAAGGTTGACTTCATATATCTTGGAACCCCTACAGTTTCCCAGAGTGAGCACTAGAGTCATACGTACGTTTCCATTAACTCGAATAGTTTCTGAATCCAGTCTTGTAGCGAAAGCCAGACAGATCTCTATCATTCCCCATCCCTCTGAATATACCCTTTTCACTAGTTGGAAAGATAAGGTATAGGAGATGAAGACAAAACCAAGATAGAAGGAAATATGCTGCAAAAGCATTTCTAAAGCCTAAGCTTGTTGTGGTTACAGTAGCTCCTAGCAACGGCGGATATGACGTCATGCTTGACTCGAAGCTCTCTGTCCTTTCCAACTGTCCAGCGACTCAACAAGTTCAGGGACCGAATAAAAGATAACAACTGATCATACAAGGTTAACAATACCATAAATACACTCCAGATAGGTGGATTGATTGATCCGAAGAGGTTTAGAAAGCTGGCTCGAAGAATTCACGGAGAAATTTCAACCGAAAGTGCATTCCAACCAGGATCGCTATCTATCGTCTTTCATCGCAGGCGATCGTAGACAAACAGATTCGCATTATCAATCTGCCGACCTTTTCTTGCACACACACACACAGGCACTGAGCACAAATATTCATTTAAATCCTTTTAGGAAAACTCACCCATGTCAATGGACAAAGAGAATAAAGAAGCTTGTCTTTTTTAACTGTCAAGTGGCTACAAAACTGCACACGTCTGCACACTTGAATGGACTAAGAAGAAGTGACGTATAAAATTATAGTCCCTATCTACAACAGTTGGTGCGAGAATATGGCTCAAGTACACTGTGAAGCGGTCACACAATTAATCTTAAACGGGCGTAGAAAAGGTGTCCTAACATACAAATTGACCCTATATGCCTATAAGAAACAATCTAAGAGTGATTTATATAGATTTCTCACAGCTGGACTCCCCCACAACCCACGAACTATATCTCTACGGACGGACTATCCGATATCATAGTTACAACAACAATTATGGGGGTGTCCAGACTGTGGGCTAGTGTATTGTGGTAGGTGTGTTGGTTCTGTAATGTGACAGTATAGATTGCTAGTTTTGTGCATATTGTCTTTTTGCTTTTTATTAAATCTTGTATTTTTATGATGTAATTAATAGATTTTTTCTTTCAGTTTTACTTTTTTTTCTTTTTTTTTCTTTTTCTTTTTGTTGTTGTATTGTTTTTATTATTTTGACCCTTTTATTCACTTTTACTTGATTTCCTATTTACTATTTTTATTTTATTTTTCACTTGCTGTTTCCATTTTCATTTTATTTTTATTTTTTGTTTTGTTGTTGAAATTTTGAAATGTTTTTCTTTATATACTGTTGTATGATTGTTTCACAGTTTGCATTTATTCTGTAGTCATGATTCACAGTGTTTGGTGTTTGTGATTTTAAGGATTTTATATTATGAAGGCAAGAGTTTTGTTTTCTGTTTTAGATTGTTGTGATTCATTTGAATGCCAAAAAATATTGTCAGTATATGAAACTGTTTTAAACACTGGCTAGTAACAAATATGGGGAATAAAAGAGAAAAGGAAGACACAGTGTTTGCAGACAGGCTGCCATTCACATATTTCTGTATTACCTCTTGTAATATTGAGTTGCGTTAAAAACGGACATCACAGCACTCGAGGCATTCACATGCACCCCCTCGCCATTTTTTTCAGTTCCCAGGTTGACCCAGTCTTGAAGGGGTACCTGGTATAGTCTTGGCAAGTAAAGGCGGATGTTGTGATGTTGACAGCATCACCCACCAAGTACTGATTGGTCTTTAAAATATAGGTCTAGCCCTATATGCCCAATATGCCTGAAGGCGTGAAAAGGTCCTTTACCTTTTTTATAAAGTTCTCTATAACTGCACTAGCTATGAGGCCCTATATTTTCAGTCAAAAATTTAGCCCCTGACCCTAAAGTGCCCTGAAAGCTGTATATAATAAGGGCACTAAAAGACCGCTTTTAAACTCTTCACCATGTATTTAAGCATTTTAGGAAAGTGGATTGTCCAAGCCACATTTCCTGACCCTGTGTTTTCACATGTCTCTACAGTTTATACAAGCGCGATGCTAGAGCCATATTCCTGTACGTACAAGACATCTCAGATGATGATTTCCACATATTCTTTTCTTCAGAAGATCAGGCACAGAGGTCAGTTTCAGGTCAAAGCTGGGTGCATCTGCATGTCAGAGAAAAGAGAGAGAGAGAGAGAGAAAACTGTTTTACTTTTTTACTTTTATTTTTTTCAAGGATCACATGTTGGGCACATAACTGTCTTACATTTGGCCATTCCAGACACTCGTCTTTCAAATATTAGTTGTATTTTTACCTACAAAGCATATTATGTTCATATATGTAGCAAGTTATGTTGTATGAGTGTAGGGTAAAAATACAGGAGTATGAATAGCAAATATGTACATTCAAATATGCATCCATGCATACTTACAAACACATATGCTCTTACTTGGACACACCTATATACACACAGTTCATACACACATAAACGTGCATACATACATATCACACTGTGGATACATACTCAGACCTCTACACGCACTCACACATGTGAATACACATGCACACACACACTCACATCTACACACACACACAGAAAACGGGTGGGGAATCATTAGTTCATGAATGCTTGTGTGTACATAATGTGTGTATGGCTCTGTGACTCCTTATCTTCCTGCGTCATCTTTCACACAAGGGTTTTCTTAACCAGTATCTCTTCCATCCATTCTTTCTTGTCCATTCCCTCCTACCTTTTTTTGTTGTTTTTATTAGTCTTTGCATGAGGAAGTTCATGTGTATTACTTTGAGTGTTGAAGTTAGGTAAGAAAAGAAACTGTCAACTTCAGAGAATGGTTGGTTGGTCGTGAATCTTTTGAGGACTTGAGTTTTAATTTGAATGTTGAATTATAAATCGACATTACAGCACTTGGGACACCCCCATAAGCTCTCAGTCCCCATCTTCAGCAGCAAGCCAAGAGTTAAAATTCTGATGGTACCAGTAACTGTCTGATTGTATATCCATCTCACCTTTCCCCTGAGTGTTGAGTATCGGCCAGATCCCCTTGTTAATCCTCACAGTGCCATTCTCCTCAGACCGTTATGATCTATCTGTGCCTGGCACTGTTCACTCGCTCCCAAAGGGCCCTCACAACACCCAGCTTGTCATAAATAAGTTCACCACTAAGTGGTGCAGAACCGGTTAGTCTATCTGTCTGCTCATTTCCCAACACACCGGCATAACCTGGAAATAATATCCAAAGGATGCTAACTACCCAGGAGAGTTTTAATTTAACATACCACACTGTTCGATCTTCTCAACCTGGATGTGGCATTGCATCTTGTCGTGGAATTAGGAATTGGTGTCTGACTGTAAGATAAGTTAGGTGACTTACAGGTTTACGACTATTTGTTTAGCTTTCTGTTTCAAAGGCACACTGATGTGCGTCTTTGCATTAGTGTTGAATGGGATGTTGAAAGAGGATAAAATGATAGTGATAATTAGAATTAGAGGTCCCCTTTTTGTTGTAAAGGGTGACTGTGGGTTTCTGAAGTGAGATATAGTTGGCCAAAAGGTGCAGATATAACAGCCAAGCTGTCCTTGGAAAAGTGGTCAAGCCATTTGCATTGCACTCTGAAGGTCGTGGGTTTGTTTTATGGCAGCTGCGTTGTTCAGTTCACGAGTGCAGTTTTTCAGATATCCATGGGGATTGTCGTTGGAGCTATGGTATTTGTGCTCTGTGCGAAGCTCTGAGCGGGCACCTAGCCATTCTGAGGCGAGAGACCAAGCCATATGGAATAAAACCCGGTGCAGTGAAGTCGATCCTTTCGACTTTAACCTTTAACACAACAGAACATGCTAACTGCACTTTTTAGGGAAAGCGTAGAATAAGTAGTAGAAAGAGAAATTGAACAAGGACTGATTGTATGTTTTCCTTATTTTGTGCCGTCTGTTAGACTGAATTAAATTCATTGTCAAATTTTTTCAAGTTCCTAATTTAAGTCCACTATGCAGTCAGGTTTGTTTATTATGTGCCGATTAGTGCTTTTATAAAGGAATTGTGTCAGAGATGCTGAAATAGGTCTGATTTATCTATTAGAGTGAAGCTGATGTAGAAACTTGCTTCTAACCTGCTACCAAAGTACTATTCCCTCATAGGGATTGTGTTGAAGAGTTCTGCTTTTTCTTGCTTAGCTCAGAAGCCAGCAGATGTATGTTACCAGCACTGAAACTTCATGTCTTTAAAGAAACGCATTAGGCGGTTAATGATTCAACACTGCACATACATGCTAACTGGTATTCATTATCATTCTCCTGATGTGCCATTTTATGTGTCACATAGGGCTTGCAATCTGTTCCTCCATTCCATTCTATCATGTGCAGTGAGTTCACTGTCTCTGGAATCCAGTCCAGCACCATTCACCTCTCTCGTCAACCATTTTAAGGTTTCTCACTTCCTTAGTCCCATTATTTCCCATTTTAGGGTCTGTTTGATGATTCCTGTGCTCATTTCTTCTCAGGATATGTCCAGTATAAACACCATCTTCTTTGTCTTATAAGTGTTGATACCAGTGGTTTCCCAGACATTTCTCTGATTTCTTCACCCCTCTTGAATTAACTGGGGTTAGGCTTGGTAAAAATAAAGTGCACCAATGGCACATTGGGCATATGTGCCAGACTCATATTTTTAAAGACAAATCAGCAGTGGTCAACATCATACCAACTGCTTTAATGTGCCAGGCCATTACCTGATTCCCTTTTAAGGCCATGTCGATTTGAGAGTCCAAGATGGCATCAGTTAAGATGAAGGATGTTCTTTATAGCACAAAGCCTGAGAGGTATTTCAAAGGGCATGTGTTACCTATAAAGCTTGAGTCCTCGCTCAGTCTGCTTTGTTAATTCCAAAGGAAAGGTATCACCAACATATTTTGACTAAAGCATTTTGCTGAAGCTGCCAAATCAGAAGAGCTGTGCTTTGTCCACCTGTCAGAGCTTCCCTCTTGACCAGCTGCACACCAAGGCTAAAGGCTGTTCATGGAGAAAATGGATTCATTTATGTCTCTTAGTGCTGAAAGAGTTAAACCCAATTCTATCTCAGAAATTACTTATAAACCCTTTTCATTGGTTTAGTCTCATTAAACTAATTCCGAGATACCTGGATCAATTCCAGCTGCCGTTGATTAGGCAGCTGATCATGTTACATAGATTACAACACTGGTATAGTTCAGGAAGCAGTGGCAAACTACTGAATGTAAAATTAGCTAGTAGAACCAAAATAGTAAACCAGAATAGTAGAACCAGATGCAGGGGTTAGTTCTGCAACATCTTGTAAAGGATACAGAATTAACTTTAAAAAAAAATCTTACTTACTTGTTGTGCATTAATAGCTCCCATTGTTTTCTTCTGTTTAAACCCTCAGATTCTACTCAATGATGGGTGAGCTTGCCGTCTCTCCAGACTGTCTGAATGAGGACGACATTGAGGATGTTGTTGACGTAAGTGGATTTATCTCTTGTGAAACATGCAGAATTATTAGTTGATTTAGAAAAGAGTGTAATGAACAGTGTGTAATTATATATATTTTTTACATTTAGTTTAAATATACTAAAGAAATCTGGCTGTATATGCTAACGTACAGCACCGTATATTTGGTTTCTTTGTTGTTGCTATTGATCCAGCGGCGCATGAGCTTTCGCCCTTTGGCCCAACACCATGTAATGGAATTTACATGTTTTCACAAGCTGTTCTTTTCCTCCGTTGTGACGATAGTGCAGATTGATTAAAGAGGTCTATCCTATAAAGACTTCTCTACAGCATGCCAGCGTCCACAGTCTCAAGAAATGTTGGCTCATGACGTTATGAAAACTAAGGGGATGGCCCCGTGTGATATAAGAGACTGGGCCGTGGTCATGTGACAGGAGTCAGAAAGGTAAGACTAGCTCTGGGTTTAGAAAGCTTCAGGCTAGTCTAGATATTCCGTCGCACCCCCTCCTGTCAATAGATATGAGCTCCCAGAAAGATACGTAAGGAAAGGATGAGAAAGATATCTTTCACACTCTTTCTCTCCAAGCCCACTCTTACCGTAGTATATAACAACTAGACGAGGTGGGTGAACAGGTGACAATCATACATTGTAATAAGTATAAAATTCTAGTAGGTGATTGGCACACACAAAAAAAAAACAGTTTTCTTCCTCGGTGAGGAGTTAGCTTTGGATGGCAGATTCAGGCTCGTGGGGCAACACAGTCACCTGATGTATCTTTAGGTGAAGTCCTTGGTGCTTCGGTCTCCCGTCTGGTTGCTCCTCACAAGTGGGAATTCTTCCCTCAAGGCTTGAAATATTACTTAGGGTCAAAGCCCTTAAAATTCCACTTAAAGTGGTTAACCTATAATGTTCATTTCACAACTTGCCATCCAGTGGCTTACAGTAATAAAAATGCAGAACTTTGGTGTTGTGTAGTTAGTTCGTGGCACAGCCGGGCTGGAATGAGACAAGAACAAAAACAACCGCTTGTGAGAGTGTGCCTCTAAATTGCCTGGCTACTATCCATACTATTTAACTAACTCTCTTCACCTCAGCTCCTGACAACTCTATTCATTTGAGTTGTCACATCGCTTCATATGTGAATCTCAATGTATATTTTATTTTCATTAACCAGGTGACTGGGTTAATCAGTCCCGCCATGGTTATGACAATCCTGACAATTCAAAATTTACACATACACCCACACACACAACTATATATATTTTTATATTTTTCACTCCCCCTCTATGGGGTTCAATCCATTTCAATCTTTCCAGTTACATTCCCACTCATGTGGTTTAAGGCTTCAGACATTACAATCCCACCATTGGGTTAGTACCTTCACCAATTATAATTCCACCCATGTGGGTTAATTCATTCACAAACTATAGTTTCCACCCATGTGGTTTACGACATTCACACATTATCATCCCACCATGTGGTTTAAGACATTCACAAATTATCATCCCATCATGTGGTAAATATATTCCCATATTATGGTTCCACCCCTGTGGTGTAATACAGTCACAAATTATTAAGTACTACCCACCCACGTGGTTAAATACATTTCCCAGTTTATGGGCATACATCATTCTCCATATTCATTATTTCCCCAATTACCCTGGGTACCCTTAGTAATATAAATTACTTAAGTAGAAAGAACAATAATTCTCCAAATTAAATCATTTTACACAGATCCATCATTTCCCCAATTACCCTGGGTACTCTTAAGAATATCCATTCAAGAAAATCAAATAATTCCCCCAAATTTAAATCATTTTACAAAGATCCATCATTTCCCCAATCTAACCACTTGCGCCCTAAAGGAAATATCGATAATGGTAGCCCTGAACCAAAATAAACACTTTTCCATGTTTTATAACATAATGTACATATAATCAAAAATAAAAATAACACTTGTACAAGGGCCACCTCGAGCTCTAGAATCTCTTACCCCCTTTTCTGAATGCAATTCACTCTTAACTTCGCGAGATTGTGTCAGCTGGTAAAAACAATTCTCCGAAGCTCGTGAATGTTTCACGCCGGCTTTAGAGTTGAAGAGGCGGAAGGAAGATGGTTCCCCCAGAACTAGCCCTATGCGCAAGACGTCTCCGAATCGGGTCTAGGTGCGCACCTACGTCATCATCTTCTGTAGTGAGGATCGTTGCTACTGACGCTATCCCTGTGCTCCTTTCTCGATTTGCGGCACTCGGGAATTCCCCGTCTGAATGTCCATTGGTGCAAAGCTAAGAACGCCGGTCCGTGCTGATGACGTTTATTAGTGTGTCATATCGTAGACGCTAGTCTGATCTATAGTTGAACTGCACTTGCGTGAATACGATGATGTTGTTTATTTACATGTACTGCCGATAGGCATGTACAATGTGTCGGAGCAAGCTATGTTTCACGCACCGGAGTGTTTTCCATGGTGTACCAATGCCATTCCATGACATCCGTACAAGGTTTTCCACCTGCCTGGTCTCGGAGGGAGTAGCATTCTTCTAGTCTCGATGAGTTTTGGGCACTCAAAGAGATGATGGTCAACAGTTTCGTAGAAGTCTTTACATAGCTGGCACTCTGGATAGTGTTGTGGCTGTATTCTGTTTAGGTGTCCATTGAGTGGAGTATGTTGTTTTCTTTGAAAGTAATGCACTTATAATCTTTGTGTTGCGTCTATTATCTCTGAAAGAATTTGAAACAAACAGTGGAATGAAGCGGGGATGTCTGCTTGCTGCTAACCTCTTTGGAATATATTTCTCACTTTTATTTAAAAATGCCTTTTAAAATCGGGAGAGTGGTAATTCACCCATTCTCCATTTCACTGCGGCCTCTGAAGTGCTTGTAGGCAGAAAACCAAAACCAAGATAATAAAGGTATTTATCAGAGAGCTTCTGTTTGCAGATGATGCAGCAATTACCACCCACTCAGAGGAGGAGCTGCAGTGTTTGCTATCTGCATTCGCTCATGCATGCTGTGAATTTGGACTAGTAAGCAGACAGCGTGAGACCTCATTGCGGCTGTCAGATCAATTTAATAATTTATATTCATTTTGTTTTAATTCATTTTTATGAGCAAAATAATTAATTTAAGCAAGAGAATTTAGTACAAACGGAACAAAGCATTAGCTACTGCTTTCCAACCCTTTGATCATGATAAATGTTGTGTTGACTAAACCAAGTGGAACAAAGCGATGTCATAAGGAAATTATTATAATTCCCTGATGGTGTCGCCATTTTTTAAAAGTGTTTTTTCACCTGAGATAATACCATACTTACCACATCTACACACCATATGGTTGCAACCAGTACCAAGGCTGTTAAACAGGTGTAGTGGCCTCTGTGCAAAGACCATGTCATCATGAAACCCCTAAATGTAGGAAAAATGGCTTTTCTGGGTGGCAGGGTAAAAATACCTACTCTTTAAAATACCAGATTTTTAACTTACATATCTTTTAACATAATACCCTTTGACATACACTCTTGGAAATACATAATTCCCGACATACTTACCAGTAAATGCCTGTGTCAAGGGAAAATGCTGAAATCAGATTACCAGGTATTTATTTATTAGCAATCACAAAGCTAAGTTTACGCTGGAGTGACATTTGAAATGCGAAAAAACTATGTACTGATCATTTAACCAAATAATCTGGTACAGCCATGTAATGAGGGATTATTAACTATGTTTTGTTTTTACCATGCCAGTATGTCTACGATTTGGATGACAAAGGTAATCGTATTCTGCTCGGCCGTGGCACATATGGAGCCGTGTATGCAGCGCGTGACAAGAAGACACAAGTCAAAATAGCGGTGAAGGAAGTGCTTGAAAAATATCAGCAGTAAGTGAACAAGTACTGGTGTGTTTCTTTTGTGAAATTATCATACATATCTGTGATGCCTTGTCTTTTTCCTTCTGTTATCATACATATGTGTGATGCATTGTCTTTTTCCTTCTGTTATCATACATATGTGCGATGCATTTTCTTCTTCCTTTTATGTCCATCCTTGCGTCTGCTGGGATGTTTGTTATAGTTTACAGCTAGACTGTTTCTTCTCCATTCACCCTTGAAAGGGTGGTTGGCATGTTATGTTGTAGTTTACAGCTAGGCTGCAATACCTGTATCTTTTGGTAAAACACATCCAATTTCAGGTAACTCCTAAGTAGACACCTTTTACAACATGCTTGTTAACTCTTTCAGACCCAGGAGTTTCAACAGCAGATATTCGAAAAGGCACAAAGAACAATGAGAAAAACACAAGTGTATTCATTTCAAGAATAAGCAGACACTAATGGGACATGTTAAAATATGTGATCATACTTAGTTTGTTATATTCAAACCAAGCATAAAGGATCCATTAACATACGAGTGCAGCCTAATACACAAAGACAATAACTGATCCCACATGGTACTTTTCTTGGAACTGAAGGATTTAACGGACGGTGGGTCTGTTCTTTTTTGATTCAAACTGATGCTGTAACACTCACTTGAGGACGACATTTGTGAGGTAGAAAATATGTGGGGAAATGTACATAATTAGGACTGTAATAACTGTAGACATTATTTTGTTAGGTAAAAAACTGAGCAGATTCCACATAGTTTTTGACAGACATTGATATGTTGTTTAAATGGTACAGACATTAATATGTTGTTATTACAAAATATAGACATTGATGTTTTGTTAAAACTGAACAAATTCTATGTTGTTTTTGAAAAACATTGGTATGTTGTTTAAATGGTACAGACATTAATATGTTGTTACAAAATATAGACATTGATGTTTTGTTAAAACTGAACAAATTCTATGTTGTTTTTGAAAAACATTGGTATGTTGTTTAAATGGTACAGACATTAATATGTTGTTACAAAATATAGACATTGATGTTTTGTTAAAACAGTAAAAATATTGATATGTTGTTAAACCCAAGCAGACATTGATACATTATTAAATCTATACAGACCTATGTATATACACACACACATAAATATATTTTAAAAAATAATGTGCACATTAATTTGTTATTAAATACATATATTGTTAAAATAGTACAGTAAGTTTTTAAGGGGAGATTTATTAATATGTTGTTGATATGTTATAACTGTCTTTTTATTTCACTTTCGTTTTCAGAGAAGTGCAGCCACTTCATGAAGAGATAAAACTCCACATGCGACTTAATCATAAAAATATTGTTAGGTATCTTGGTTCAGTCAGCGAAGATGGTTTCTTTAAAATCTTCATGGAGCAAGTTCCTGGAGGTTTGTGTTGTTTTGTCTTCACAAATGTAGTTGAGAAGTGGTCTAGAGAAATAGTGTATGTAATGTTGTCTAAAGAGCATTGAAAGTAATATAGTTTGATTAAATATAAGTGATATACACAGAAGTGTGGTCTGATGTAGAGACAAGAGGGATAGAGACGTAATGTAGTGTTATATGATGTAAAGAGAAGTGGTATAGAGAAGTAATATATTATTATGTAATGTGAAGAGAAATGAAATAAAGAAGTAATGTAGTTCTATGTGATGTCTAAGGAGCTTTAGAAGTATGTTATTATATGTAAAGAGAAGTAGTATGGAGAAAATATATATAGGATATTTAGAATAATATATATATATATATATATATATATATATATATATATATATATATATATATATATATATATATATATATATATATATATATATATATATATATATATATATATATATATATGTGTGTAAATATATATGAGCAGAAGGGATTGGAAATAGAGGGAAAAATGGTTGCAGTAAGGTTGAGAGCTGAGCATTCTAGAAGAAGCACACTATTTACAGGTGATGTCAACATTGAACAGTCCTGAAATCATACGCTGTAATTGTCGAAGGCTTTTCTTAACCCACTGACTACTACAATGATTTGTTATGATCCGCTGATTTTTACGCCTCGATACCATAATCGCACCCCCTGTGATCATAACTTTGGACTTTCGCCGCCATGTTAAAATTGTGACTTTTGCATTAAATGTAGTTGCAGCTGTTAGTCTTTCCATTTCTGTATGTTTGTTTAAGGGACATATTTCGGTGTAGTGCTTGAAATAAATTTTCCACAAATTTTTGTTGGTGAGCTCCCATGTCAGTTACTCATTAGGTGCATGTTTTCATAGCGTTAGGTGGAACAGTTTAAAGAATATTTATGATGCAGTCTTAATTGTTTTAAATCAAAATGTAAAGGTGAAGATATTTCTGAAAGTAGGGTCTGCTGGTGTGTGTGGGAAAACTAACAGACATATAGACTGGCTGGTTCTGCACCACTTGGTGGTAATTGATGCATGACAAGCTAGATGTTGTAAGGGTCCTTTTGGAGCGAGTGAACAGTGCCCAGGCATAAACATGTCATCATGGTCTGAAGAGAATGGTTCTGCAAGGAGTGACCAGGGAATCTGGCTGGCGCTGAGCACTCATGGAAGGATGAGGCTGATATACAGTCAGACTGTTTCTGGTATCATCCAAGTTGGAACTCTGCACTTGCTGCTGAAGACAGGGACAGATCATTTATGGCAATTCCGGAGTGCTGTGTTGTCAGTTTTTAACTCATAAATGTTCATTTCAGGCAGTCTTTCACAGTTATTGAGATCCAAATGGGGTCCATTAAAAGACAGTGAGACAACTATCGCATTCTATACCAAACAGATTCTTGAAGGACTGAAATACCTGGTAAGGATATTTCAAGAGTAATTAGTCACTGCATGGCAGACTATTCACTACAAATGTACTGAGATTCTTTCCTCACTATATCCTTCATGAGACTCTTTGTTTGCTGCTGAAGATAGGGACGGGAGTGTTTATGGGGGTGTCCTGAGTGCTATAATGTTGATTCCTAATTCAACATTCAACATTCCACTGCTTTACTAGAGTAGTCAAGCTGTTTGCCTCTCACTTTAAAAGTCTTGAATTTCTTTTATCGACAGTATGTCCAGTTCACAGGTGCAGTTTTTACATAAATCCCTGTGGATCATCGCAGTAGCTACAGAGTTTGTACTTTGTGCAGACTGCTAGCTGTTCTGCAGAGAGAGACTGAGCTATATAGGGTTGGGGGTGAGGGTGGGGGGAAGGGTGGAGGTATCAGGCAGTTTTTAAATTGAACGCATTTGTATTTGTAATAATCTGTTTTTTTTCCCCTTTACTTTAATTATAATTAAATAATAATATATTTAAAAAAAATATATTTATAAAACAAAAAGTCAAGGATATTTTAATTTGCGGGTTAGTAACACAAGCATTTATAGATAAAAAACACATTCTGACCAGAACATATCTCTGTACTATCTGTGTCCTTTGTTGAGGAATTTATTGTCCTGCACCTTTTAATCACATTTTGTTATGTTTGGGGAATGGGGAAAAGGGGGGAGGGGGGAGTCTTGCCATATACTCAAGCAAGGTGTGACCTATCTGGAAAAAAAAAAGTTGGAGATCACTGTTCTAGACTTTTAATTTTAACTAAGTCCCTTAGCCAGTAGCGCCTGTCAACATGAGCTCTCTGCTATTTTACTAGTCTTCTTTGTCTCCCTGCATGAATCTCTTGTCTGACTTTACCCCATTCGGTTTGCTGTTTTTTACAGTCTGGTCAAGGTTGCTGAATCAGTACTTGATTCATTTAATTATCCTGTCTCTCTCTGGGTATTTCATAGATCAACCTGCTTGATTGCTGATCCCTTTCCACATCTTCCTTCCTTTTTGCCGTTCTCCTTTCATACATTACTTCCTTCACACATAGTAAGTAAAAGCAAAGGTCCATTTGTCACGCCTTTGGGCATATTGGGAAACTAGAGCTAGACCTATATTTTTATAGACCAATCGGCAATTTGTGGGTGATGTGGTCAGCATCACAGCGGCCGTCTTTACTTTATACCTGATACCTACACAAGGCTGGGGAAAAAGGTCCGGCTTCATCGGGATGGGAACTCACGACCTTCCGATCCGCAGGCAGGCGTCTAGCTGCCATCGCCATGGCAATTGCCCCTTCACACATACACTTATCTTAAATTACTCCTTATTGTCCTCCTTATTCTTATTCTTTCTCCTTATTCCTCTATTCCTCTTTTACCTTTCCTTTTCTTTACAGCTGTGTGAACAATTAATATGAATTATTATTATAATTGTAATAAGGTTAAAAATCTCTAGGCAGCCATTAGTATTAACAGTTATAAGACAGAGAAGACACTGGATACATTCTGAGAAGAGATGAAAAAAAATCCCAGACAGGCATTGAAATGGGAAATAGAGTGATTGAGGAAACAAGCACATTTAAGAGATACCCTCAAGAGAAACCTCAAAGTAGATGTTGATAAGAGAAGCCAAAGGGGCTGGACTGATTCTATCCATGATGTCGAAATGATTGCACAAGACAGAACGGAATAAAGAAATAGATCACGGGCCCTATGTGACATATAATGGCACAATAGGACAAACAAATGAAATAAGGGTAAAGGAAATATACAGAATAATAAGATAAAAGAATGCTGTGTATACATGGAAGGATATGTGGTTTAGAGGCTAGTCAACACTTTTAACAGTCCTCTATATACCAAGATAAATGCCATGGACCGTGTTGTGTGGAAAGGGCATATCAGGAAGGGTATGAGAGTGAAGGAAGAAATGATTGCAGAAAGGATGAGAGTTGAGCGTCTGAAAAGAAACAGATTAAACACAGATGCTGACAACAAGGGTCCTGAAATCCCATGCCATCATTGTGGAAGACTTTTCTTGACACGGACGGGTCTTGCTAGTCACACTCGCCATCGCCATGGGCTGTGAGTCTCATGCCTCCTCATAGCGCAATATAACACTGTCGTCAAGAAAGACGGAAAGGTGCCAAATAAAAAAAAAATATACCTGGATATTTCCACTGTGGGCTGTTTAAAAAATGATGGTTATCCCGGCTTTTGGACAGTTATATAAAAGTTGCAGCGTGGAAGATTTTGAGCCTCACATGTAATATTCTCAGACAGCACATTTACACCACAGTCAACCTCTTGTTGGGGCGGGAGACAGTTTTTATTGTGTTAAAAATGTCTGATCATCATCATCATCAGTCAGCAGATACCTTGCAGAACGTCAGTTCATCATGGCACGCCTGAAAGTCTCTCTTTCTGCAGCCACTTCTTCAGCCCTATATGCTTTCATAGCCAATGCATCTTCTGTGTCTTGTATCCACATTTGCAGAGGTCTACCTCTACCTCATTTTCCTGAAACTGTACCCTCCATCACTGTTCTCTCCAGTCCACCTTGACGTTTAACATGGTCAAAATAACTCAGCTTTCTGGACAGGATACTCTTAAGAGAATTAGTAACCATGGTAATGAGATGTATGAGAAACGCTGCAGAAGTTAACAACAGAGATACAATTAGGAATAATGTCAAAAGAGAAAAGCTCAGAAGGATGTAGAGCATGAGGTAGACCAAGAACAAAAGGAAAAGATAACATCAGATAAATTCTGCAACAGTATTATGTTTTCATTATCGAGGTCACAAGAAGAGCAAAAAGCAGAATCTAATTTCTCTCTTGACACCAAAAGCAGTAAAATAGGATGTGAAGAAGAAGATGATGACAGGATTTCTTTAAAGGGTATACAATAAATACACATGTTACTGTCAAATTGAGGGATTTCAGTTTTTTAATCAAAAGTAGTATAGCTGATGTGACCACATTTGTAGGAGCAGCAGTGGTAGCTTTCTTCCTATTTTTAGAGTTCACTAGTTGTTAACGCAGGTGGAAAAATTCTGGTTGCTCGTCTAGTTCTGGACTTTAGTCTTGTTCCAGAACTTGAGATTTGCATTTTACAGATCTGGCTTGTTTTAATGCAGACTGTTGCTTCTCACTTCTCAACTTTTATGACATGCTTCTTGAAGAAGTAGGTCTATCCCCCCACCCCCCAACAATAGGGCCTTGTAACCCACAGGGAAGCTATGGCAACATAGTGGCTATCACATTTCCCTTCAATTTTGATAGAAAAAAAAAAGGACCCTTTCCACGCCTTTAGGCGTATAAGACATATAGAGCTAGACCTTTATTTTATAGACCAAAATGGGGTGATGTGGTCAGCATCATGCCGGCCGCCTCTACTTCCCAGGACTGCACCCGGAACCCAATGCTGGGTCGACCTGGGAGCCAAGTGCATTTTTGAAGAAAAGTCCGACTCCGCCAGGGAGCGAACCCACGACCTTCCGATCCATGGCGCACGTCTCGCCGCTCTGCCACGGCGACTATTCTGATAGAAGTTTGTTCAAATCCCTAAGGAGACAGAGTTTACCTGCACTGCCAGGTCAATCCAGTCTAAGTTGGGTACCAGAATCTGTCATTGGAAGTAAAGGTTACCGGCAGGATGCTAATCGCATCACCCACTGAGGACAGATGGATTTTTAAAAATACGGCATCACCCATCCAGGGAAGATTGATCTATAAAAATACATCGCCCATGAGGACAGATTGATTTATAAAAATACCACATCGCCCATGAGGACAGATTGATTTATAAAAATACCACATCGCCCATCCAGGGAAGATTGATCTATAAAATACCACATCGCCCATGAGGACAGATTGCTCTATAAAAATACCACATTGCCCATGAGGACAGATTGATCTATAAAAATACCACATCGCCCATGAGGACAGATTGATCTATAAAAATACCACATTACCCATTGAGGGCTGACTGACCTATAAAAATACCACATCGCCCATTGAGGGCTGACTGACCTATAAAAATACCACATCGCCCATTGAGGGCTGACTGACCTATAAAAATACCACATCGCCCATTGAGGGCTGACTGACCTATAAAAATACCACATCGCCCATTGAGGGCTGACTGACCTATAAAAATACCACATCGCCCATTGAGGGGCTGACTGATCTATAAAAATACCACATCGCCCATTGAGGGCTGACTGATCTATAAAAATACCACATCGCCCATTGAGGGCTGACTGACCTATAAAAATATGAGCTAAGCATCATATGCTGGATGCACCACTGGTGTTGAAATGGGGTCCTTTGTTTCTCTTAGTGAGTTCTGATTGATCTGTTTGATTGATCTTATCTATGTTTGAATTAATAGCATGTCAACAAGATTGTACATCGAGACATCAAGGGAGACAATGTGCTGGTGAACACCTACAGTGGAGTATTGAAGATTTCTGACTTTGGCACCTCTAAGAGGCTGTCAGGCATCAACCCATGTGCTGACACATTTGCTGGTAAGCTTTGACTTTCAGCCCAAGTTGTGTGGTTTTTGTCATTGTACCTGGCACCGTAGAGTTAAATAAACATATAATGAAGCTTCCTGTGTGGGTTCCAGGGACAACAAGAATAGACCCACTGCCTAACCAAAAGCATGTCGTAAGAGTCGACTAATTGGGAGCTTCCTTTAAAGTCGGAGTACATCTACCTGAGAGGCAAGGAACCAGCAGCCTGCATACAGATGAGTCAGATCGTTAAAACAGATGCTAACGCAACACTCAGGTTCTGGAACAGTACTGCAGTCCAGAAGTGGATGAACAACCAGAACTTTCCCCCAGAGTTTACAGCTGGTGAACGTAAAGAGGAAAGAAGATATAGTGAAGCTTTAAGTATTCAGACACAAAGATACATTGCACAGTTTATTGCCTGGCATATTCTATTGTTGGCTGCATTACTATATAGTTAAATCAACATATAATGAAGCACAAAAATGAATCTTTTTTGCTGAAATACACATTGTCATTGTCAAGTTGCACATCTCTTTACCAGAAATTCAAGATCAGCCACATGATTACAATGGTAACTTCAATTTTATTGCTTGATCTTTTTGTTTACAATAAACTGCAGAGCTCAGTTGTATGGATACACCATAGCCAGTTTTAGTAAACATTTATTCAATGTGTGGTAAATAGTTCTGAAAATATAATGAAGCATAAAAATGAACCCTTTTTGCTGAAACCTGTCTTCTTATATGTTGATTTATCTAACACTTTTTATGTGTTGATTTAACTCTGTAGTAATGCATCGGGCGAGATACAGCAAAATCTGGCAGGCAGTAAATGGTGCAATGTATTTTCTACCTACATAAAAAAAAATTACAACAGGAAAACAGTGTTTAAAGAATAGATAAACAGATTCTGCATTTCAGAAGATGAATAATAAAACAAGTTCTTCAACCGAATGTCAGAAAGAGAGGTGTTGAAATGTTATGTTGAATTTATTCTGATATTTAGCAATGGATAAACTGTTTCTTTTGATGATGGTGTGATAATTCCTTATGCCTTCCATGTTAATTTTATGTGTAAAAAGAAATAATTATGTACACTTACAGGAACATTACAGTACATGGCTCCAGAAGTGATTGATAAAGGGACAAGAGGGTATGGCCCACCGGTAAGTGAAACTTTTATTATTCACTTTATTCCATGTTAAACAACTACTATAACAACAGCAGCAAACCATGTAATGATAAGCGAACTGTTAACTACACCAAGCAGTGAGACAGAGTTAGTTGAAAGAGATCATTATAATGAAAACATACACGCCGATCCTGATGAAGTATATCCCCAACTGAACGAAATACTTTTCGCAGACGACCAAAGCATAATACATGAAAACGAAAAAGAACTTCAAATCCACGTAAATGCGCTACACACAGTCTGCAACGAATATAACATGAAGATCAGCATCACCAAAACAGAAATTCTGAAAATAAGTAGAACACCTAATATACTAACTATTCAAGTTAACAACGAACAACTCAAACAAGTGCAGCAATTTAAATACTTGGGGGGCATCTTCACAGAAGATGGAAGAATTGATAGGGAACTTGAGGCAAGATGTCAAAAGGCAAACGCAGTAGCTTACCAACTCTCCCCACTGCTAAAACACCCAAGCATCACTATGGCACTAAAACGACAACTGATAAATTGCATGTTTATACCAACCCTCTGCTTCCAATGCCAAACCTGGTCCCTAACAAGAGCACAGGAGAAAAAGATCACGACGTGCGAAATGAGATGCTTACGTAAGGCTGCCAATGTCACAAGGAGAGACAGAGTTCGAAACGAGAACATTAGATCAATTGTAGGAACCACACCATGCCTGCAATACATAAAGAAGCAACAAATAGAGTGGTTTGGCCACTTGATGCGAATGCAAACCAACCAACTGCCTCTACGAGCATACAACGAACAGCACTACTGCCCTAGAGCAAGAGGCAGACCGAGAGTACGATGGATAGACAATATATCAGAGATCCTGAGGCAACACGGACTAACAACAACACCTGCAACACACCTGGCCCAGGATAGAAAACTGCGACTCCCCACTACGCTGTGAGGCAATTGTGGACAAGACAAGACAAGACAAACAACTACTGGATGTAAATTTGCTGGGGTTGGTTCTGCAACGCCCTGTAAAGGATACGCAACTAACCTTTACCACGTTAAACAAATAGAGACATCCAAGCATAACCATGAGTGCAAAGAGACAGATTATAAACAGCATATTCATCCCAATATTAAGCTACCAGTGCCAAACATGGACACTATCTAAAGCCCAAATACACATCACTACCTGCAAGATGAGATGCCTGAGAGAAGCAGCCAACCTAACCATCCGAGATCAAGTGAATAATGAAACTATCAGGCAAATTGTGGGAACGACAACTTGTACTAGAATCTTCGAGAAACAGCAGATCAAGTGGTTTGGATGCAGCTAGATCAAATACCATCACAAGCACTACATCTCAAAAGATCAGCTACATAGAGCAAGAGGACGGCCACAGAAATTATGGATCGACAAAATTAAAAATATTCCGCGCCTTCACGGCATGACAATAGCCAGTGGCAGTCAGCGTGCACTAGAACGCAAATTATTCCTCCCCACGACGCTTAACAGCAAAAGTGGTTTATGATGATGATGACGAAAATAGAGAATAAATGCAGAAACTTTAAAACTTTTGTCATGAAAATGAACACATTTTGGAAAAACAACAGAACTACTTATTCTTATGCGTTTTCTCTCAAAAGAACGGTTGGCATGTTGTGTTGTGGTTTGCAGCTGGACTGCAGTATCTGCACTTTTTAGCCTAACACATTAAATTTTACTAAAACCCTAATTAGTTACCTTTTACGACATGCTTGTTGAGGTTCCTATGTTCATTTGGTGAAGATTCCCACTCATAAGCTTTGCTCGTTTTTTTTTTTTTTAGGTATCAGCTTAGCTATAATGGTTAGTGCACTTGCCTCCTGAAACAGTAGTCTGGGTACAGTCTCTACAGGGTGTCCCATAAGCTTACATACATAGAAAATAAAACTTAAAAAAAATTTAAAACCAGTTTCATTTATATAATATGCTCTATATCACTATCATTGTTTTGAAAAGACATTTCACTGTGTCTCCTCTACTGCTACTGCTGTAGAACACATATAAGCGCAGCTGACGTTATGCTCATAATGTTGTTAGTGATATGTTTATTTTTTCTATGTATGGAAACTTTTGCGACACCCTGTAGAAGCGGCAGGATTTTTCTCATCAAAAATAGTTCTGGGGGTTGGTCAGCCCAGCCTCATAAAAATGTGCACCAAAATATCTTATTTACAGTTTTACTGGAGAAACTTATCTGGGGAGGTGAGGGGACAGAAAGTGAACTGAGAACCTCATCTAATATTTAGTGGCCTAGCATATGTGAAGGTTTAATACTTCTTCTTTTCCTGAGCTTTCATGGGCTGTAAACTCAGGCGGATGGTTGTTATTGTTTGTCCTTGACTTTATTCTTGATCCAGAACTTGAGTTTTGTGTGCACATTCATTTTACAAGTCTGGTTTTGTTGTTGTTTTGTTTGTATGCAGGCTGTTGGTAGACTTCCAGGCAAATGCACTCAGACTTTGAAGGAAACCCCTAATTAGTTGCCTCCTATGACATGCTTGTTCTTGAAGGGAGGAGGGGGCAGTGGGTCTATTCTTTGTTTTCCGAAATGGATCCTAGAACCCACACGAGGAAGTTACACTTCAAACTCTAATGGCAGTATTTACTATGGAACTGTCAGTCATTACTGACTGTGATTACCACTTTAGTAGTGTAGGACAAGGCAGTCTTTTAGCCTGAGGATTTAGAGCAGCACGACTAGTGCAGATGCCTTTGACTGTGCAGGTTAGAACTGTATTCTTGGCCCTCAACAGAAAAACCTTTAACCTTACAGAGGATTCTTGTCTTCTTTTTCTTCTTGCCTTCAGTGGCTGTAAACTCTGGAGGAAAGTTCTGGTTGTTCATCCAGTTCTGGACTTTAGTCTTGTTCCAGAACTGCATGCAGACTGTTGGTTTCTCACCTCTTTGTCAAATGTAGTCTGACTTTGAAGACCCCCCCCCCCTCCCTTTCCCCCTCCCCCCCCCCCCCCCCCCCCAACCTTTCCCCCTGTTTGTAAATATTTTTTATGTGTGCTCTACAATGGAACCCACTCGAGTACCCAGGATTCGAAGCTGGGTTCCAAATGAGAGCCCAGCATTCTTAACTGTGGGACTACTGTAACCTTTTATCCGCCCAATAATAGTTACTCCTATGTTTGATATCACTGTTAGAGCCAGACTGCTTACCCAAGATCAGAGTTCTTGTTGATTTATTTCAGGCTGACATCTGGTCATTGGGCTGTACGGTGATTGAAATGGCTACAGGAAAACCACCGTTTATTGAGGTTAGTTGGTTATCATGATAAATTAACAAACATTCTTCTTCTTCTTCTTCACGTTCACCTGCTGTAAACTCTGGTGGAAAGTTCTGGTCGCTCGTCCACTTCTGGACTGCAATCCTGTTCCAGAACCTGAGTGTTGCGTGTGCATCCGTTTTATAGATCTGACTCATTTGTATGCTGACTGCTGATTCTGGCCTCTCAGGCAGATGCACTCCGACTTTGAAGGAAGCTCCTAATTTGTCGACTCTTACGACGTGCTCTTGGTTAGGCAGTGGGTCTGTTCTTGTTTTCCCTATAATAGGGCCCAGGAACCTACAGAGGGAACAAACATTCATTAACTGTTGCCTACACAGAATAGAGGGGATCAGATTGTTTGATAGAGTCACTTAGGTGGAGGTTTGGGAAAGAACTAAACAAATTCCTGTCAATCAAGAGGTGAGGAAAAGATGCTGACATTGGTTAGGACATACTTTGAGAAAACTTGATAATAATATATCGAGAATAAACATTTGATTTGTTTAAATGTCCCAAGTGTTTTATCTTATTTATTATTAGCATCCATAATTGATAGTAAAAAAATTATTGGACATTGATTCCTGAACTCTAGTATTAGTAGGTAAAAGAACTAACCTATATGCCACCATTGCCCAGTTAGGTTGTGTAAGAAATGCATACACTGTAATGTTGTCTTCTCTTCAGCTTGGTTCCCCGGAGGCTGCCATGTTTAAGGTGGGGTTCTACAAAATGCACCCCCTGATTCCAGACTCACTGTCGGCAAAAGCTAAAGAGTTTCTTCTCAGGTAACAGTTTCTAGTGTGGATTTCTGTTTTGTTGCAGAGCTTGCTTTCTCCTTCTCCTCTACTCCCTCCTTCTCTACCTCCACTTCTTCACATGCAGTTCAGACAAACTAGATAACTAATTATGAAACTATTTATCAAGCCATGTTACCCTGAAAACATGATAACATATGAAACGTTTTGGCAGCACATGCTACTCAGATTCTTTTTCATCCTTCGTCTGTATTTGGTTTGTGCTTTTAGGCATCATAGTTTAACAGATGGTGAGCAGTTAAGCCAGGGCTCGCTTGGCTATTAAGTATGCTTTGATGTTGTGAGATCATAAACTGTCAGTGACTCCTTCAGTCCATATCCTGCTTGGTCTCATTCTGTCTCTTTATGTTTCCATTTTTATGTTGTATGCTCTCACTGCCGGAATTGTTGAGTTAATTCTTGCTTGATGACCAGATGATTTCAGTCTTTATTCCTCAGTGAAATTGTTCTAGTAGTTCTTTTTATCTTTTAATTTCTCACACACACTCTTTCTGCATTGTAATTTTTCCCCCCCAGACATCTCATTTCACAGGGGGTATGTTTTCTCAGTCCTATTTAAGGAGTCCGGCCCAACTTCTCACTGGTTGGCCTTTCATTCAGGCTTGGTCCAGCTGGTCTTCGCCAGAGGGGTGTCATTGTCTCTAGGGTGTCACTGGCAAACGACCCGATATCTAGAACTGGCCCTAACCCAAACTCCCCTGCTCACAGTCTCAGCCTAGGTCCCACGAGAGAGTCCAGAGTATATCCCATGGCTTCAGAATTAACATTTTCCACTCCTCCTAAAAACCTGTTTTCCTCCGGAAAAGCACCTCTCTCCTCGTTGCTCATCAGCACTGACAGCTGACCTAATTTCATGCCGTACCTGAAGTTGCATAATATACGCAATCTAGCTGCCCACTTGCAGCAACCAGTAAAACACATTGCGTAGCTCATCGCCTATGTGCGTTTATTATAGAAACCCCTTGGCGAACACCAGACAAGGTGACATCCCTTTAATGTAGACTAGCCCATGTCATGAGTGAGATAGCATGAACGAAAGCCCAATTACACAATGTTTGGACCAGGAATCCTAAATTGGACTGTTTTCTTTTTATTCTTTGGTTATTGTCCAAGTCTGACAGTGGCTACTGTAAATAATACATTTAAAATGTCACAGTAAAAGTGGCACCATCAATATGTCTTCATCTCTCAGCTACCTTTATATTGTGTATTATTTGTAAAAATAATGTGTTAGCTTTGTATTTTTGTGTGTGCTTTGAAAGTTAATTCTAACATGCCTGTTCTATTAGATGCTTTGAGCCAGAACCAAATAACAGAGCCACAGCAGCTGAGCTACTGGAGCATCCATTTCTTTATGAGTAAGTGTAGTATTCTTTATGGCATTTTGATGTCAAAGCCAAACTGGCAGGTTGGATTGCATTAATGTTTGGCACAATTGAATGGGTTTCTCATGTTGTTTTAGAATGCATTCTCCATAGGTTTTGAGACAAATCATTGCAGTTTTGACAGCCATTGTTTTCTGTGTTTTCACAGCCTCATTTTGGAGGCAAGGGAAAAAAAATACACCTAACAGCCATGGTTGTTTTGTTTTTATATCCAGAAACCATGAGTTGGTAACCCTTTGGCTCGGTACTATGGATATCGCAACCCTTCGGCCTTGATTCCATGATAGGTACCGTAAATCTGGGAGAAAATGTGGCTTTTCTGCCTACCCCCGGGAGTGAACCCGGACCACAAGGAGTTCATCACCCGGTCACTGCGCAGTCCGGTTTAGCCAACTACACTAGAGAGCCGGGCAACAGCAATGGTATAAAAGGTGACTAAATTGGGTAATCACTAATATACCCAGTTTCGTCCTTTTTAGGATGACATTTTTTGTTATTTGAAGCCCCTCCCTGGCTTTTGCCAGGGGCCGCAATATAGGCAGGCCATAAATATGGCCAATTGTCTGAACGCGGTTTCTGGGACCTCTCCACGGCGATCCTCATCCACGTAGTGGCACTTTGTGTCATCGGGTGTTTATCGCCTGTGTGATGTCCTGGTGGGGTAGAAAGTCAGTCAGTCAGTCAGGGGTCTTTCTTTCTAATTTTTAGTGCATCTTCCTGAGAGGAGAGGAATCAGCAGTCTGCAGAACTTAAAAGCGAAATCTGTAAAGCAGCTGACATTACAAGAGCTTTCTGCCAGAGTTTACAGCCAGTGAATGCAAAGAAGAAGATGGTCATTGCGAACACATTTGTATTTGTCTCATTGTGTTTTGTTAGAGTTTTATTTTAGGTGTGCTGTCTTATACATATGACTTTACTAGTCTCATTCCTTATCTTTTTCTTATATATTTCCCTTTTCTGTCTCTTTATCTTTCTATCATTTTCCAGTTTGCTTTCTATCTTTCGGGTCTCAAATTATGGACACATCCAAACCAAGCACTAAAACACCCACTTGTCGTTGAAGACTTCCAGCAAGTGGAGACAACTTAAGTGAACACAACAGTGCAGGTCAAAGATGTGTAACTCATCGTACCCACTAGTTATCCATATAGAAAGTTTGAACAGATGTAGTTGTTATACCCACTGAGAGACCGCACTTGGTCTGCACGGATATATTCATCATACCCACTGAGAGAGCACTTGGTCTGCACAGATATATTCATCATACCCACTGAGAGAGCACTTGGTCTGCACGGATATATTCATCATACCCACTGAGACCGCACTTGGTCTGCACAAATATATTCATCATACCCACTGAGACCGCACTTGGTCTGCACGGATATATTCATCATACCCACTGAGAGAGCACTTGGTCTGCACGGATATATTCATCATACCCACTGAGACCGCACTTGGTCTGCACGGATATATTCATCATACCCACTGAGAGAGCACTTGGTCTGCACGGATATATTCATCATACCCACTGAGACCGCACTTGGTCTGCACGGATATATTCATCATACCCACTGAGACCGCACTTGGTCTGCACGGATATATTCATCATACCCACTGAAAGAGCACTTCGTCTGCACAGATATATCCATCCTACCCACTGAGAGAGCACTTGGTCTGCACAGATATATTCATTATACCCATTGAGACTGCACTTTATCTCTCTGGAGATATCCATCATACCCACTGAGAGAGCACTTGGTCTGCACAGATATATCCATCATACCCACTGAGACTGCACTTGATCTCTGTGGAGATATCCATCATACACACTGGGATGAGTAAAAATTACCTACACCTTGCACTATAGAATAACAAATTGCCTACACCTCCCACTATAGAATAACAAATTGCCTACACCTCCCACTATAGAATAACAAATTGCCTACACCTCCCACTATAGAATAACAAATTGCCTACACCTCCCACTATAGAATAACAAATTGCCTACACCTCCCACTATAGAATAACAAATTGCCTACACCTCCCACTATAGAATAACAAATTGCCGACACCTCCTTATTCAAAACAAACATTTACTAAGTCACATGTTTAATTTAAAAAAAAAAAGCTACTTCCATCTCCCACTTGCACACACACACAAAAATGTCCCACCACTGCAACTTTTTAACCAACAATTATGATCCAACCCCCTCGTCTAAAATAAACATTTCTAATGCTTCTGTCACTTTAATAGATTATAATTGTTTGTGGCTTCACTTTCAGAAATCTTGGAACTAGGAGAAAAAGAGCCAGAAAGATGAAAGATGATCAACCTGAACACATTGATTACTTGAGAAGTGTTTCTGGTAAGCGGCATTTAGAATTGGGAGAGGAGAATAAGCTGAGTGATAGGAGAAAAAAAGGAAGGAGTCATTTTTTTAAGTTGTGTCGGCTGTATTCTTCTTCGTCCCTTATCTCATATTAGAGCATAGATTCTTGTCTGAACCACACCAAGCTCTGCCTATTGTTTGCAATCTCCTGCAGCTAACTCATCTTCCCTGAATTACTAATATTTGACTTTAATTCTTTTTTTTCCTTTTTTTTTTGTCTGTCTGTCTCTGACTTTAATTCTTATTTCTGCCTGTTTTAGGTCTCTCTCTAGTATGGTTACCATATGGATTCTAGAGAAATGATCTCATTATTAAATTGTCTCTCAATGTGTGACCTATCCAGCTTCAGCATATTTTCCTCACCTGAGCCCAATTGGTTGGATAAAACCAATTTTGCCAACATTGGAGACTGGACCTTGCTAAGTCAGTGTGTAAATTGCACCTGGGCTTTTAAGGTCTCAGTCTAGTGAAGTTAAAGCAGCAGGCTTGATACAGCAAATTCATTTGAAATAGGAAAGCTGTTTGTCAGGGTGATTTTAACTCTAGCTAGACTTTGCAGTATACAAATAATTCAACATATTCTCAGTGTCAGCGCAAGAGAAGACTGGCTAAACAGATTGGTAAATGAAACAGTAGCCCAAAATCTTTATGGAAATGATCCAGTCAAAAGCCACTGACAGAGGTGAGAGGATCAGCTACATTGCACTAGATTTAATCCATTCAGGCTCAGTCTCTCTGAAGAGAACTGGCTGCCTGCTGAGAAGACCACACAGCACAAACTATATAACTCCAGTTGTGACACACAAGGAACTCAGAAGTAGTTGCCTTTGTGAAACAGATTACAGTCTGAAAGTGAACTCGCCTCCTTGATAGCATAAAGCACACGACCTAACTACTTCATGATGGAGACTGCTCTGCACTTGACCAAAGCAAGTGACACACTTGTTGTGATAGTCAGCAGTTTCATCAAAGATAGGTGTGCATGTGACAAATCATGGTAAGCTACTACATCACCTTAGAACAAAAAAATTAGTTCACTAAAATGTCAACGTTCTGGAATCTAGGAGTGACGTGTTTAGAAACTTTTGACAAGTCTTCAGGCTTTTTGACCATAATCAGAAGGAGTTGTTCACTGGGTTCAGAAAGTCAAAGCTTCAAAAAGGGGAGAGACAAACCTGAAAATGTTACTCATGCTGAATAAACAAAACAAAATCTAATAAAGCAAGTCCTGCAAGACTGTTTCACACTGGCATAAGGTCATAGACATGGAAGGGGATTATATAGAAAATTAGGATGTGTAAAGGGACATACTGAATTACATTGTCTGTGAATTTGATACATTCTGCACAGTGAACTTTCTAAATGCTTCTCCTATTATTTACCCAGACATAACAGAACAGTTAAATTTCCTTTCACATCACCTTTTCTATATGTGATCTTTTTTGTGTGTGTGTTAGACCCTGTTGGGAAAAACAAGGAAAATGATGAACTGAAACTTCGAATCCCAAGAATTACCAAGTAAGAAAGCTTTTATTGTTGAATTTTTTTTTTAGAATGTAAGGTGACTGTATTTGTTATGTTAAACATGTGCATCTAATGAGAGAGAGAGAGAGAGAGAGAGAGAGAGAGAGAGAGAGAGAGAGAGAGAGAGAGAGAGAGATAGGGGAGAGAGAGAGATAGGGGAGAGAGAGAGGGAGAGAGAGTAAGAGAGAGAGAGTGAGTAAATGAGAGAGAGATAGAGAGTGAAAGAGAGAGTGAGAGGGAGGGAGAGAGAGAGTGAGTGAGTGAGTGAGTGAGTGAGTGAGTGAGTGAGTGAGTGAGTGAGTGAGTGAGTGAGTGAGTGAGTGAGTGAGAGAAAGAGAGAGTAAGAGAGAGAGAGAGTTTGGTTAGTTTGTTGGTTGCTTGGTGAATCCCCTGAAAGGGGTTTGTGAATTTTAACCCTGTCACTGCATGGGAGTCTGTGTTGTGGCATTTACGGGTTTTTGAGGACATGAGATCTTTCAGCAGTGGCTACTGCAGCTGTTCAAGAGCTCTAGTACTGTTCCAATTGCATAGTTTACAGATGTGGTGGGTATATTATATTTAAATTAAGAAGCAAAGGACCCTTTCCATACCTTTGGGCATATAGGGCCAGACCTATATTTTATAGACCAGTGGGCACTTGGAGATGTAGTCAGCATCAAGCAGGCCGCTTTTACTTCCAAGGACTGTACCATTTAAGGCTGGGTAGACCTGCGAGCCAGGATCATTTAAAAAATTCAGATTCGCATGTGAGGGGTCCAGTACACTGCAGCAGCTTCCATGATTATATCCCTCCACCCCCCCCCCCCCCCCCCCAATTTTTTTTTTAGGTGTGGTGGGGGGGGGGGGGAGTTGATGTTTTAATGACATCATAATGTCATCACTTTGCTCCACATGGCTATGTCAAGAAAAATATGTTTCTCATGGTCAGAGAGAAGGAAAGCAGTCATTCTTTATCCACTTGTTTTTAATGATCACTTCACTTACTAAAATGCTTTTTTTTTTTTAAGACTATTTCAACTGTTTAAAAAAAATGTAAATTCTGTGACTTGGACGAGGCAGTAATGTTGCGATGGCTAGCAGGCTTACCTGTCTGTTTGCTGTTCATAGATATTTCAATCTCCTGGATCTTTATTTAAAAATGTCCAAGACTCCAGATTTCTTCTGCTCTTCTTTAGGATCTCAGGGTAGAGTTTCAGAAAATGCTAACAGGGCATCTCTTTTTAATAATATTTTGAAAGGGGTCCATTCTTAAGATTCTTATGAGATGAAAAGGTTAACTTCTAAATCCAGTGTATTGTTATTTAAGTTATTTGAACCCTTAAGTTTTAGGGCAGCAGTATGCTTTGATAAAAAGCTGTCAGAAATATTCTGCTATTTTCTTCCTCTATCTCTATTTTAATAAATCTTTCCAGTCATCTCAATATTTTCCAGTGTTTCTCTTAATATAGTTTGAAAAAAAAAAAAAAAAACAGGGGTCTCTCTCTTTTTAATAGTCATGACAAGTTGTATTTGTGTCTTAACCTCTTTCAGAACATCAAAACAGTCTTTAAGAGAATCTAAATCAACCAGTGAAGTCCCCCATCTGGTTTCTGGGGCCCTATATTTAGGGACAAAAAAAAAAAAAAAGCAAAAGAATAACTGGAGTAACTGCTAGTTAAAAAGCATGTGTAAAAGGTGACTTTTTAAGGATTTGCTGAAATCATGTGTGTTTGGCCAATAGGAACACACATAACTGCCTAGCTGCAAACAACAATACAACATGTCAATCACCTTTTTAAGCGGCAGCAGAAGACGAAGAATCAATCTGTTAGTTTATGAGTGAGTCTCCATCAAGAAAGAGTTATGTTTTTTTAAGTTTATCACCATCTTAATTTCTTACCCAAGTTCAACTTCTGCTTTTGTTGTCTTTTTTTTCTTTTTTAAATCAGGCTCCGGTCAGAAGTGTATGGCAGCCATGAAAATTTAATTGACGATCTCGACACAATTGACGAAGGACGGTAAGTACAGGATATAAGTTTTTGTTAGTTCACGGTCCTCAAAGAAATGGTGCAGTGGGGGAGTGACCAGTTTATCTGGCCAACACTCAACACTTAGGGAAAAGGCAAGATGGACATATAATTAGACAGCTACTATGGATGGGAATCTTACATGTACAAGCCTCGGTAAATCAATGCTGTTCAGTCACAAATTTATACTGGAATCCCTGATAGTTACAGTGTAACCTGAAGTACAGGGTGTTGTTGTTGTTGCTGAGTACAGTTAATTATATTTTCTAAGTAGAAGAACATTGTGTATGCTGTATATGAGAGCAGCCTGGCATGAGTTAATAGAGGCCTAATGCTCCATTGGGGGACATTTGGTAATCTGATGTGTACAGATTTAACTGAAACATTGAAACAACTGTTACTTGCAAAATGCAACTTGTCTCCTAGAAAGTTTGTCTTAAAAACACTTGCTCAGACAAGACACCTGTTTTGTGAGATATACAATTACAAGTAAACTGGCTTTTAAAAAAAAAAAAAAACTAATTAGACACCAATGAGTACATTATATATGACATGGATAGTCCATGCATTGCATATTTGTATTAACCCCTTACGTATAAAATTGTCACCGTAAGGTAACGCATGTCTTGATTTGAAAGGATTAATATCTGTGATCAGTAGGAGAGCCACTGTAACATAGCCCCTAAGGTCTTAGGTTCAAATCTGCATTGTGTCAGATCTTTCCAAAATTAGCCTTGGCTGCACAGTCGACCCATCCCGAAATGATGCAGTATTCTGGGAAGTCAAGGTGGCCCGTGTGATGTTGACCACATCACCCACAGAGTGCCAGTTGGTCTATAAAATATGGATCTAGCCCTATATGTCCATTTGCCTGAAGACTTTACTTACTTGTACATTACGATATGCTTCCAGCCTAAGCCCTTACCAGCTTACACATCTTTGATACTCATGCACAAATATATCTGAGCATAGATGTAATATTCATTGCAGACATGCTGGCATGCTGTTTTTATGAATTTTGCTTTGTATACTCTTTGTAATCTGCTATAGGAGACTGATCTCCTGTGAGTTTGTCTGAGGTGAAAACAAGTCTAATCTATAAATAATTGGAGCTGCAGTAGCTTAGTGGCTCGCCTGCTTGCCTGAAGGTCTGGGTTTTGATCTTCACTGTGTGGAATTTTGTTTTCTAAATTAAGTAGGGGGCCCATTTTAGGCTGGGTCTACCTGGGAGCTCAGGTCATTTTTAAAAATTACACCTTGGTGCAGATTTGAAACTCCAGACCTTAGGGCTGGCATGCAAGTGTCTAAGCTTTACGCTACTGCAGCTTCCAGTGAGTGTACATCTTCACATTTGACAGTTCATGTGGTTGCATTTGGCCAATTATAATAATATTTAAATTCCACAGGAAAAAGAGGATTAGTCAACAGTCTTGACATTTCTTTGCCACACTTGTTCATTTAGCAATTCTCTCCTCGTTTCTAGTTAATCTTTTTTTTTTTTTTTTAAATGCTATTTAGTTTTTTACATTAACATTTTCTCAATATTTCAATGTATCTACATTTTCTTCTTCACTTACTTATTTACCGCTTGGGTGTCGAGGAAGGTATTAGGTTCTGCTTCTTGTAGTTCTGGACTCCCCGACGATAGACACATAATGCTGTTGTAGAGTTTCTTCAGTGTTAACTTTTCTTCTTGTTCTTGGTCTGCCTTATGCTCTACATCTGTTTTCCTCTTTTGCTGTGTGCCTTGTATGGTATGGCATGGCATCACAAGGCTTTCTATCTGAGTGGGCAAACCATGTTGTTTGCTGTCTGTGTATTTAACTGAGAATTGGTCCTGTGCTGACTTTTTCTCTTGCAACCTCATTCTGATTTGATCTCTTCTGATCACTCCTGCAGTCCTTGTTTGACATCTTTTTGCCTTGGTTACTAATTTTCTTTTATGGTTTTTATGTGTGTGAGTGATCATGCCTGGCACTGGTAGCATAGGGTAGGAATAGTCTACATTTTAATTACATTAATTTTGTTTTTTCATTAACATTTGCTCAGTATTTCTATATATCTACATTTTAATTACATTACTTTTGTTTTTACATTAACATTTGCTCAGTATTTCTATATATCTACAATTAATGACATTAATTATATTTGTCATAAAGTGGTGCTAGTACAAACTATTTTAAATTGTAAGTTCTTTTCTATTTTGTATTTCTGTGAAATTGTATAATTTGTAGTTGTTGAGTTTTTTTATTTGGTTTCTAGATGAGCTTTTGCTTTGATAATTACAGATGTTTTGTTGGATTAATTTGTTTTATTTCATTGATTATGATTTGTACTTAATATAAGATTTTGTTTTTACTTGAGCTTTTCCTTTGAACATTTGCACATATTTGATTTAATTTCATGCTGAACTTTCCCAAGAATAATTTCAGAAAATTTTTGTTGGTGTATGTGAAAGCATTTTTTAAAATAAATTCTAATATTTGATTTTGTTTTTGATAACTTCTAGATTTGAGGTATAGCTTTTTAACAGCAGGATTGATAATTTCTTGATATTTTATTTGACTTCTGTTTAAAGTCAGTTCTGACACAGATAAAGATTTTCTATAGTCCATACCATGTCCATACGCAATATTGGTGGGGCCATTATTTGATTAGAATTGATCGCGCGTGCAACTGCTGATCTTTTAATGACTTCTGCTACCATCAATGATGAACTGCATTTCTAACGCCAGACTGTTTGTGTTAGCACTTCGGATGGCTACCATATGCTTTTAATGCGAGTGTATGCTAGATTTGCTGAGACAGCAGTTTGTCAGTCTTTCCACAAGGGACTGTGATAAACATTCTGTGTGTTTTTCATTGGCGCAGGAGCGGAGCAAAGATGGGGGGACCCGTTTGCTATGAAGCTGAAATTAAAATTACCAGAAAACCAGATTACCATACCATGTGGCTTTGGTAGTCATGTCTTTCCACAACCTTCTGCCTTGTATACTTTCAATAAATTTGGACATAGGTGATCTTCCATAGTCCATGCACTGTGGCATTGGTAGTCATGTCTATCCACAGCCTTCTATCTTGTGTACTTTCAGTCACAGTTGATCTCAAATGCCATGATGTTGAACTGTCCAACATCCTCCCTCTCAGTCTTTCCCTGCCTCTTTTTCCTTCAGCTTTCTCACCGTTACGATGTACTCCATTTTTATCTTTCTCATGACATGACCAAAGAATGCAGATTATCTCTATCCGATTTGGGCAGTCACTTCTGTTGGTTAGTCAGTTTCTTTCAAGACATCTTCATTACTCTTTGTCTGTCCGAGGGTATTTATCTTTTGTGTATAAAATCACATCTCCGCTGCTTGAATTTAATCTGTTTTCACTCATCGTCCTAGTGTCCATGATTCTTTTACATATATTTACTGCTTACCCTATCAGAAAAATGTCTTATCACCTTATTGAGGATTTGAACCGGAGTATCCCCAATAAGAGTTTAGCATTCTGACTCCTTTGGCTGGACACTCCCAAACATAAGTGTGAAAGATAAGCTAATTGATTTTATTTGTTCTACATTTATTTATTTACTTCTGCCTTTCAGCAGTCACTTCAGTATTCCTATCACTGTGTGAGCATACTTTTACACAAATTATGATACTAACATTGTTGATTATTGTTTAACTCTTTCAGTACCAAACAATTCATCATACATGTCTTGTTAGTTCCAGAGATAATATGATATTCTTGCTCTCTTCTGTCATAGACTTTTTGTGTCTCAGTGGTTAGTTTAACTACTCTTGTGTCTCTGTATAACTTTTTAATATCTAAATATTTATAGCTTTTAAACTCAGCTCCTTGTGGTGCAAGGATTTAAATAAATGTACAGTTATTTGGGACTGAAAAAGCTAACACAGAAAACTTCTGTGAAGGCTATAATAACCATTGATTTATGCAAATCACTGGTTGCAGTGCTAATAGATTATGTTATAGTTTTAAAACATTGAACACACAAATTGTACCAGTAAAAAAAAAAAAATCCTAATAAAAGTTTATATAAGAAAAAAATTCATACAATCTAACAGTCTAAAGGTGATAGGAAGAGAAACTTGCATTTTAACTTTCTTAATCTCTTTCAAGGAGAAATCTTTACAGTTGGCATGTTTTTTTTTGGATTCAATACTCTTGTCTTTAAAACTTCTGTGGAGGTTTTATAACCAGTCGTTTATGGTAAGCACTTGTTGAAATGCCCATCGGCTGTATTGTGATAGAGATCAAATAACTCTTATGCATTCTTGCGCACCCTATAAACTTGAGAATAGCAGTTAGCAACCTGACTTTCTTTAACTCTTCTGTTTCAATACATTTTTACTGTAGGCATCTAATAGAGGAAATAACCAGTATGAACAATCATAAATGTATTACTTTCACTGTGTGTGATCTTGGGCCCCAAATGGTGGAGGGATTGGGTGGGGTGGTGGAAAGCACTAACAAGCATGCTATAAATAGTGACTAATTAGGTGTTTGTCAAGATCGGTTGTGTTTGATCTAAAGATGCAGATTGACTAGGAGCAATGAATAAATACTTAAAACCCTGCCACTAAAGTTCCTAGTCCTAGTAAAATGAGGTATTCACACCTGATTCCTGAGAAGGAAGAACTTCTATCAGTGCATTACTTTCAAAGAATCTGAACACATAGAATTTTCTGTTATGTGGAGTTCCTAGCAAAGAGAGAAGGGCTAGTCATGTGCAGAGTGGTCTGCTGCCAAATTACTTGCAGCTGGAATCGAACCGGGTACCTCAGAATTACCTCAGAAAAACAGTTAGCGCCCTTTGCTTAGACGTTGCGAACGAGCTTCCTAATGCCTGGGTGCAGGTATGAACCGAGCTGGGACGATTTATCTTGCATTGGCTTTAACAGTGGCACTGAGAGCTAACCATTCACAAAGCAGTGGCAAACTATAAAACATAAAATTTTCCTTAAAAAAACCACAACAGCCAAAACATGCTGGTGTTGGTTTTGCAACAACCCGTAAAGGATACACAACTAACTTTTTTTTAAAACCCTAAAATTACTAATAGCAACTGTAATGCTTAAGTCAGGCACCAACAACAGTGACAAACATTGGCAGAAAGACAGATTTGGTTTTACACAGCACATAAACTCCGTATGGGCTCTTCACATAATATTTCGTCATGTATTCCAGTTGGGCTTATTAATTGTCTGTTACTTTATCAACATAACACATTCACTTGGTGGCGGTTGTTCACATGTAACATTGCTGTCTGTGTCTGATATTTGTTACAGTTGTCTTCTCCATGAAGTCATCCTCTAATAGTCCATGCCATGTGGCACTGGTAATCACGTCTGCCCAGTCTTCTGTCTCATGTATTTCTGTTTGAACTGTTCTTCCATCCTATGATGTCACACTGTTTAACATCCACTTCATTGATCTCCCGCGACCTCTCTTTCCCTCCAGTATTTCTGCTGTCATGACATGTTGCAGTTTTCTCAATCTCATGCTGTTCCTGAATAATGTCATATTCCATTTTATAAGTAACCATCCTCTTTATGAGTTCATTTCTTAAATAATATCCTCATTGAATGCTGTTTGTATTAATATGTCCATATTGTAATGTTCTTGTCATACTTTTAGTTTTCTCCTTGTCCTTGGTGTTAACCAACTGTAAACTCCAGCAGAAAGTCCTGGTTGTTCGTCTACTTCTGGACTGTGGTCTTGTTTCAGACCTCAGTTTTGGATGCACATTTATTTTAGTTGATGCTACCTATTTTCTGTTAACGTTTAATGTTCTCTGGCCTATACCAAGCCTGATTTCCTACATTGTATCAGTGACTTCAGGCAGAAGAGTGCATTAGGGAGGATACTAGCCTTATCCTAGGAAGAGAATCTGCAGCCTGAAAACATCATGTTATGGCAGGGCAGACCAGACGTTTAGCTCTGGCTGGCAGCTGGTCCAGCAGGAAAGCTTACACAGGCCACTGCTCTTTTGTTGCGGCAGCTTCTGCTGTGTGCTTTGTTCATGACATATTGGTATTACTTTTCCTTTGGAGTAAACAAAGTGGACTGAGCAAAGGATTGTTATGCATGGGCAGCACATTCTCTCTACAACACTTCCGAGGCTTTGTGCTATGTAGAAGAGGAACTTCACACTTGCCATTATCATGGGTTGTGATTCCCATGCCTCCCCATAGCACAGTATAACACATGTCATCAGACTGTTGAATTAGGAATCAACATCATAGAAATTAGGACACTCCCACAAGCGCTCAACCCCCAACTTCAGCAGCAAGCAAAGAGTTCCAATTCCCATGGCACCAGTAACTGTCTGATTGGATATCCTAATCGCCTTTCCCTTGAGTGTTAAGCGTCGGCCAAATCCCCTGGTAACTCCTCGCAGAGCCATTTTCATCAGATCATAATGATCTGTCAGTCTCTGTGCCTCCACACTGTTCACTCCCAAAGGGCCCCTACAACATCTAGCCAGCCTACCCTTGTGTCATCTGAAAAGATGGAAAGGTGTCAGTGAGATACTCTCGCGCAAGCTTTCCTTAGTAGTCTGTTACAACATGCATAGTAGTTTTTAGTGTCACTCTTCTTTATTTCCTGGTACATTCATTGGCATTGTTCAGTTTTTCCAGGTAATAGTGTTATATTGCAGCCCCTGTCAGTTTACTGGCTGGTCTGCTTATAAAACATGCACACATTAGAAGAGACAGTGCACTAAACATGCAATAAAGTACTTTTATTTTGATCTTGAATACTTATTAATCCTAAACAGTTCCCCAGGATGAAAAATGTTTGTTTTCATTCCTTCTGTACCAGTTAATGCATTTTAACTATTTGTAACGAGATGTGGAATTTTAAGTTTTTAAACTTTTTGCCTCACAAACCCTTGAAAAAAAAAACAAATCCCAACCAGTATATTGGGAATTCCAGTTGCCGGCTATGGTGTCATACCTTCTGTTAAAAATTAACATTTATTTCACCAGACTCCATTTCCCAAATGCCATATTTAGTCAGTATAATTAGTTCTGGTCCTGCCAGATGTGTGGGTGTGCACAAGTTAATACCAGTGCTGTTAGGTATGTTTCTTGTGAACAAGCCACTATATCATCATCATCATATAGCAGGTCCTTTGCAGAACGTCGCTCTCATCACAGTCTGCCTGAAAGAAACTCGGTCTCTCGCCAGTTCTCCCGCCTCATGCATTTTCACATTCAAGGAGTCACCTATATCATGTGCCTATCTTCGTGTCGGTCGGCCCCTGCCCCTCCTTCCTGGTACCATGCCTTCTGCTATAATTTTGTCCAATCCGTCATGGCGCTTGATATGACCAAAATATTTCAGCTTTCGAGAAAGGATGCTGTTTATTAGCCAATCTTTCTTGATGTTCAGATCTTTTAATGTATGCTCCATCTTCATCTTCAGCAGCCAGTGCAGAGTTCCAAAACTGATGGTGCCGGTCACAATCTGGTTATATGTCCGTCTTGTCTTTCCTCTGAGTTTAGTGAACTGGCCAGACCCTCTGGTTTAAGTTAGTATAAAGCAGCAAGCTTCAAATTACTATTACACCTTACACCTCCAAAAAAGACACTTGTAAAATTGAAGACTTATGCCCATGCACAAAGAAACATCATTTTTTGGGTGGTGTCAAAGTATTTTTTCTACATGTTTTGTTAATGTTAAAACTTTAATTTCCAGTGTTTTGTTAAAGATACAACTTTAATTTCCAAATGTTTTGTTAAAGTTAAAACTTTAATTTCCACATGTTTTGTTAAAGTTAAAACTTTAATTTCCAAATTTTATATTAAAGTTAAAACTGCATTTTTATGTGTTTTGCTAAAGCTTGCTAGTGACTTGCCTGCATCTTGCTGATATTTTCTTCTGTCTACGCACACTTTCTCTAGCCTGACACCTGCCAGTAGTGCCACTGACCTTAGAGACATGGATGATCACCCCAGGTATAATGACATTTCCTGTTGTGTGTAGCTCTCTAGAACTGTGTCCTTTTTCCCTGTTTAGTTTAATCTCCAACCTCCATGTCCTGGCTTTGTAAATGTTGGTTTTTTAACTTGTTTAAGCAAAAGCAGCTGTAGCTTTACCTCTTCCTGTGCAAATTACTTTGCACATGAAGCTAATAAGTGTTGGATCTCATGAAGTTTAAAAACTAATCTCACTGTACAGAAAGTGGGATTGAAAGGTGCTGAACTACATCTCACCAGAACCATGGCTAACACTGGTCAGAACCTAGCTACACCTCTTCATGGTCATCCTAGAAACAGATGCCCGATTGGGGGCACAGAAGATGAGAAAGATAACCTAGAATACAGATCCAAACCTGATCAGAAGTAGCAGTCTCATTATCATAAACATCCCGAGCCATTCAGCAAATACTGCACCACCTGATGGGGTGACATATAGTGACCCAAAAAAAAAAAACACATGGAAGACATGGAGCTGACTGGCTGCACAGTTACATCAAACCTCTACCTAAACCTGGCAACAACTACAGTGACTATAGCAGCGGGTCTCAACCTGCGACTCGTGACCCTTTTTTGGGGGGTTGAATGAGCCTTTCACAAGGGTCACCTAAGACCATCGGAAAAAACACATATTCATTGACGTTATGAAGGAGAATAATTGTCTGGGGGTCGCCACAACATGAGGGAATTGTATTAAAGGGTCACGGCTTTAGGAAGCTTGAGAGCCACTGAACTGTAGGATTATCACCGTTGCAGAATATGATAGGTAGACTCCTTGAAAAGATTATGGCACAGATTGTCTTGAATCTTGGAAGAGTTACTTCCCCCAATAGTGTATTGTTTGCAATGAACGAACGAACAAACAAACAAACTTTATTTTCAAAGGGTCACCAATTGGGACACGCAGGCCCGTCTTACATTCGGCCCTTCCAGCAACCATCTTTCGCACAGCAGTTGTATTTTACTAATAAAGCATGTTATGATCATATGATGATTATGCATGTTATGAATATTATAAAAGAACACAAAATGACATTTATGAGAGCTTCCAGACTGGCATTGAAACAGCTACAGCAGCCATTGATCTTGAGGATGCAGTGACTACCTCATGACACTGTTCTTAGACATGAATATTGATCCAACCTTGATCAAATGGATCAGCCCTGCTCTATTTGAAAGAACAGTAGTGCTGCAGTGTGGGACATGGAAGTCATAGCATCATGCCAGGGTTACCTCAGGGGACACCTTTGTCATCTGTTCTATTTAATATGAACTAGACAGAGGTCACAAGGATCAAGAATAGGAACTGGGCACTTTGTCCTATGCTGGTGATGTACTAGCAGGGTACTGAAAGGAGACAGCTAAATCAGTGCAGCAGGAACTTGACCAACTGACCAGATGGAGTAAGGAAATTATCTATAGGTTGGGTCTACCTCAAGAGCAGTACTGATACATGAAATCCTGTCACTTCTGGTGAATATTTATTTAAGAATCAACATCACAGCACTCGGGACACCCCCATGAGCGCTCCATCCCCATCTTCAGCAGTCAGGGAAGAGTTAAAATTCCAAGGTACCAGTTACTGTCTGATTGTATATCCGTCTCGCCTTTCCCCTGAGTGTCAAGCGTTGGCCAGATCCCCTTGTAACTCCTCGCAGTGCCATTATCCTCAGACCATAATGACACTTCTGGGGAATTAAGCCACACCACTTTCTGAGCAACCAAGTGGATTAGCCTAGATACCCTCTTGGCTTATATATATATATATATATATTAATAAAACAGAAATACATTCTGGTTGACCCTTCTAAAAGTAAAGGACCCTTTTCCACGCTTTCAGACGTATTGGGCATATAGGGTTAGACCTATATTTTATAGACAATCCGCACTGGGCGAGTGATGTGGTCAGCATCATGATGGCCACCTCAACTACCCAGGATTCCACCTGGTACCCACTCAAGGCTGGGTCGACCTGGGAGCCAAGGTCATTTTTGTTAACCATTCTAGGTTATGTTTAATTCTTTTATTAATTAATTAAGCTGTGGCTATTTTGAAATTGTTCACTGATGGTTGTTCTTGCAATCATATTCACATTGTATGTAGTTCATATTTTCCAAATAGCTGTTTAGAGTTAGACTTTTCTGTTTTATATTGTGTAAGGAGGTTGTATTCTTGGTAATTCTGCTTGTGCATTGATAACTTTATCAAGTGGAAATTACCAGTATTTCGCTATATGTATGTGCATGCGTGTATGTTTGTGTGGGTGTGTGTATGTTTTTTTTTTCTCTTTAAAAATATTAGCTAGGGCAGTGTTTCCCAAACTGTGCGCCACGGCACCCCAGGAAGCCACGACCTCTTTACAGGAGCGCCACAAAATATTCAAAGATACATAAGTTTTATAATTTTTTTTATCTCTTACATACGAATAGTAATACTTCTACAGGTTAAGGCCCCGCGGACAAATTTTAATTGAAAAAAAAGTTCCGGGACTAAGAAAAGTTTGGGAAACACTGAGCTAGGGTACAGTTAGCTTATTGTGGCTGACTACTTCCATCGATGACAAATTGCAATTTTGATGTAAACTGTTGGATTTGCTACCTACAGGGGCTTCTTAATGGAGGGTCAGCGCAGTTCCATTTGTTTTTTATTACAAATATTAGTATGTTTTTCAGTGTTTTTCAGTGTTTTTTCCTATTTTTATCATGATTATAAAACCAGCATGCGTTTTTTTTAAATATGTGTCCACACAAGTTTATCTTTCATATATTATATAATAGTGAAAAATAGGCATTTTTCATGCCTAAAATTTCAGCAATATTGATGTGTGCAATTTGGGGAAAAAAGCATTTAAAAAATAATTTGACAAACTTTGATTTCAGTTTACAGTATTGTGCAGTATAAAATGACATTATAACAAAGAATATACGTGATTGCAAAACTAATAGACAAAACTGTAATTTAGAAATATTGCGAACAAACTAATCACACACTAGTTGAGATTAAATTTCTGAAACTGCTGATCATCTAAAATGGTAAATTATTACCGACTATGCTTTCTGGCATGGCACATGATGATAATTATTATTTTTCTTGAAAGAGAGGTCGCTGAGCGATTTTCTTGTATTGAAAGGGGGTAGTGGGCCAATCAAGGTTTGGGAAACACTGCTGTAGACAGATTCTTACTCTTGCATTACTGAGGCCCTCATGGAAAGCAAAGACTCAAATCACTGCTACATTATTAGAAAAGCTGCCCAGTAAGAATATCTGTAACACCAGGATTTGTTGGCTTTTTGGAGGGTTTTACTGGGCACTTTCTTTTTTATTTAGAAGTTTGCCATCATGCCATTGTTAGGAGGAGTTCAAATGTATCTGCTGTCAAATCGCCTTCAGCTATATCATAATTATGAAACTATTTATTACCCTATGCCACAGATGCCAGCATATAGCCTTTAACTCACATATGGAGGTATGGAAAGCAAGGGTCAGCCATCTACTTTTCCAAGAATAAGTTAAGAGGCAGTCACAAAGCCAAACTTTTAGACATATGACATGTTTCAGACATGCCGGTCTTCATACTGAATATCCTGACATGACAACTGGTCTTCATACTGAATATCCTGACATGACATGTTTCAGACATACCGGTCTTCATACTGAATATCCTGACATGACATTTTTCAGACATGCTGGTCTTCATACTGAAAATTCTGACATGACATGTTTCAGACATGCTGGTCTTCATACTGAATATCCTGACATGACAACTGGTCTTCATACTGAATATCCTGACATGACAACTGGTCTTCATACTGAATATCCTGACATGACAACTGGTCTTCATACTGAATATCCTGACATGACATGTTTCAGACATGCTGGTCTTCATACTGAATATCCTGACATGACAACTGGTCTTCATACTGAATATCCTGACATGACATGTTTCAGACATGCTGGTCTTCATACTGAATATCCTGACATGACATGTTTCAGACATGCTGGTCTTCATACTGAATATCCTGACATGACAACTGGTCTTCATACTGAATATCCTGACATGACATGAGATTTGTATTTTTGTGTGTTTCTTGTTGTTTGTCAATACCATTCTATGCCTATATTATCTTTTAATTTTAAATGCCTGATTTTGTTCCTAAACCCTGATCCTCTTGAACTTCAGATAATCATTACCAGAGTTTAAATTATTGTCCGCCATGTTACCAGAATATAAATTGTCCACCATGTTACCAGAGTTTAAATTGTCCACCATGTTACCAGAGTTTAAATTGTCCACCATGTTACCAGATTTTAAATTTTCCACCCTGTTACCAGATTTTAAATTGTCCACCATGTTACCAGATTTTAAATTGTCCACCATGTTACCAGATTTTAAATTGTCCACCATGTTACCAGATTTTAAAGTGTCCACCATGTTACCAGAGTTTAAATTGTCCACCATGTTACCAGATTTTAAATTGTCCACCATGTTACCAGATTTTAAATTGTCCACAATGTTACCAGATTTTAAATTGTCCACCATGTTACCAGATTTTAAATTGTCCACCATGTTACCAGATTTTAAATTGTCCACTATGTTACCAGAGTTTAAATTGTCCATCATGTTACCAGAGTTTAAATTGTCCATCATGTTACCATAGTTTAAATTGTCCACCATGTTACCATAGTTTAAATTGTCCATCATGTTACCATAGTTTAAATTGTCCATCATGTTACCAGATTTTAAATTGTCCACCATGTTACCAGAGTTTAAATTGTCCACCATGTTACCAGAGTTTAAATTGTCCATCTTGTTGCCAGAGTTTAAATTGTCCACCATGTTACCAGAGTTTAAATTGTCCATCTTGTTGCCAGAGTTTAAATTGTCCTCCATGTTACCAGAGTTTAAATTGTCCATCTTGTTGCCAGAGTTTAAATTGTCCACCATGTTACCAGAGTTTAAATTGTCCACCATGTTACCAGAGTTTAAATTGTCCATCATGTTACCAGAGTTTAAATTGTCCACCATGTTACCAGAGTTAAAATTGCCCACTATGTTACCACCTCTGTATTAATCTTTTTACCACCTTTATGTTCATCATGTTACCAATTTTTATTTCATCATCTTCCACCTGTAAATTCCCAACATTTATTTGTAAATTCATAATTGGTTCCACTTTTACATTTATCATTTTACCACTTCTAAATCCATGATTTGAGCACTTCTGTATGGATCATCATCATCCTCTTCACTTTCTCTGCCTCCAGTTATATTGACCTGTTAAGGGAACATCTAAGGATCTTTTTCTGTATCCTTTTTCTATTGTAAAGTACAGATTTATCTTTATTGCTTTAAGACTGCTCTTGATGCTGTCATTCCATGGTTTAGATTGTTTACCTCTTATTTTGTGTTCGCGGTGTCTGTGGCTTAGGTGTAGCGAGTCTGACTCGTAATTCCAATGTAGCGCGATCGAAGCCCACTGCTGGCTGCGTGGATTTTTATCATGTTATGGGGCGTCGCAGGTCGACCTAGCCTAAAATGGGTACCAGGATGGCTGTTGTAATGCTGACCACATTACCCCTCTATTGCTGATGGTCTGTAAAAATATGGGCGCTCTTCTCATATACCCGATATGCCTAAAAGACGTGATAAAGGATCTTTACTTACTCTGGCAGATGGTACTCAAGCATTCTCTCAGACGGCCAGATCATCTCAAACTGTTGCTTTTTATTGAACTGTTTGACGAGTTTAATTCTAGCCTTTTATTTTTTTAAAGCTATCTCTTTTATTTGTATTTGTTTTTTGTTTCCATGCCAGCTCTCCTAAGATGTCTTAACACTGTTGTTTTGATTTTGTGCTTAGTTATAGTGGGCAACCCTATTTTAATGAACATATATGTATTCGTCATTATCACCTCTATATTCATCATCTCAGTCATCTGTATATTTTATAATTCAAATTACAAATACATCATCATAACAGTTTTTGTGGCAACTGTGGCACTTTTTGTGTAGTAAACAGATAGGATCTGTGTGTTTCTTGATGCTGTTATTAGAAGCATTGTTTTCTTTCCATTACCATTTTGAGAGATTAAATCAAGCTTACACTTATTTTAATGTTTATTTTAAACATCTTCACTGCAGACACCTTACTCCATAAAAATAAACAATTTGATATTTTATGCTCCTCTATGAGTCTCTCAACTCCCTCGGTAGTCAACACAGGTATTTAGAGAAATTGTGCTAAAACTGAAAATTAAAACCTTCTAAACAAAGGGCTCAATATTTTTTTTTTGTTAGCTGTATGCATTGATTAAAGTTTGATGTTCCATTTTGTGTGATTTTTTTGTTTCTTATTTTGTGTTTTTATTGCACATTGAATTTGTATTAATTTTTTTTTTATTTTGGTCTTTCTGTATTTTTCATTCCGTTTTTCTTTTTAACTCCTTGTACAGTTTATTTTCCCCTATCATTTTTCTTTCTTCCTTGCTGCTGCATTTGCGTACCTATTTTAGTGAAGACTTTCGTAGGCGGAGTCTATCAGATAGTCATGCCAGTGGGTCTAAGAAAAGGTGAGAGATTTTCGTGGTCGTTTTGCTTTGACTTGCAGCAGCCACCGCAAATATTTATCTGTCACCTGTACGTATATTTACATTAAAAAAAAAATAATTTTGACTTTAGAAAAATCCTGGTCATTTTGAAGGTACATAAGTTTGTAGCACGTATTACTTAAGGAGTTTTTGCAGGGAAGGGGGGGGTTGTAAACTGTATTTTTAAGTGTATAAGACAGTATGTTTTCCCCAGTTTTTGAAGTTAAAAAATTGGGGATTTTCTTATATACATGAAATGTGATTAAAATATTTATTTAATAATTCTGGGGTCACAAAATATAGGTCTTTTTGTGCATGGAAGCATCTTATACAAAGAAAAATACAGTATTTAGGTTGGTCTTATGGAAGGTATATATTTTTTCAGATCATAAAATTTAGTAACATTTGTGAAAGTGGGGGAGCTGCAGTATATATTCTTTCAGATCATAAAATTTAGTAACATTTGTGAAAGTGGGGGAGCTGCAGAAGTTCCTTGGAAAAGAGGCAGGAATTGACAACCACCAAAGTTGTCACGGAATATTGGATAGTGGCAGCTTGGGCATGAAAATACACCTGGTTGCATGACTATTTTGGGTTTTTTGGCTCATATAATTTAAGACTCAAGCATGCATCTCTTGAAATGTATATGTTTAATCTTGCATGTGGGGTTGTCCAGTCAATGCATGCTAATTGTCCTGTATCAGATTACGATATACTGAGAAGAAAAGACAAGCGTGGCTGGTGTTAGTTCATCATTTATGCCATGTCATTTAGTCTTTGATACATACAGTTAAAAGCCCACTCCATGTCAAAAAAATGTGCATATCCTTTACAGGGTGTTGCAGAACCGACTTCAGCATTTTCTAGTTTGTTTTTTTCCTAGGCAAATTTTAGGCTCAGTAGTTTGCAGTTGCTTTCTGTCCATGTTCATACATGTGTGTAAATATGTCTACAGGTTTAATCTTGCTTGTTTCTCCCTATGTGTTCTTGGGCCCCATTGTGGTGGTAATGGTTTTAGCGGGGGAGGGGTTTGGAATAGACTTGCCCCCTACCTAACAAGCATGTTGTAAGAGTCAGCTAATTAGGGCTCTTCTTATGGAGCCAGAATATATTTGCCTGCGAAGCAAGGAATCAACAGTCTGCATACAAATTAGCCAGATCTGTAAAATGTATGTGCACGCAAAACTCCTAACAAGACTAAATTCCAGAAGTGAACAAACAACCAGAACTTTCCGCCAGATTTTACAGCCGGTGAACACAAAGAAGAAGAATTGTGCATGTATGATTGTTTGAACTCTATACATGATCATGACTGTAGCATGGCTGTGCTGTGCATTCATTAAGAAGAAAAGATTCTATGATGATATGTGATTTTTACTCACGTGATGTGATTTGCTTGTTGCTTTGGTGATGCATGTGTGATCTGTTAGCAGAAGGAAGGCTAATAGTTGGAGCCAATAATTCCAAGCTTCCATGTCATGAGGCCAGTATTTGAGACCTAAAACCTCACCCACATTTGGACAGCATGGTTCCTTCATAACCTTATGGTGCCACAATATCCCTTTTTTTTTCTAAATATGATTGAATGGCGTGTTAGAGATTTGCTCATGCTGAATTCATATTTGAAAAATGACTTTTTGAGTAAACTCAACGTTGATTTTTTTTAAAGTCTGCAACTTCTGAAGGTAACATTTGTTAAATATAATTTTACCTCTTGAAAAATTTAACTCTTTTGGTCCCAGACAGTTGATTCATTAGCTCATTATAATGCAATACATTATTGATCTGTAAATGTTCATGCAATAATCCTACTAAAACATTAGTTGCCTATCCTTACAGGCTTTCACAGAACCACTCTCGCCGTTCTTTGGCTGCTTCGTTTTACTGGGCAGTTTTACTTTCAGTAGTTTGCCATTGCTTACTGAGTGGTGGGTGCTCCATGTCTGTCAGAATCAGCACACTGCTGCCATATCGCATGCAGCTAGAATGAGACCTGGTATTTTGGAAATCTGATTAACAGAATGAATTAATTAAAAATCAGTATTTGGTTGGTTTATGTAGCTTCTAAGTGAGACACAGGGAGGTAAGAAAAGATTATCATATAAAGCCAGGTCTTTTAGCTAAGTTTACTCTGGGGTAAAAGTGTTGGAAAACGGGGAACATTGCGAGCCAGAGACTGGACCATTACCATAGGACAATCATTACTACAATAAAGGTGATCTGCAGGCCACTTGCTACTTGCTAGGCCTCTTCGGGCCAGATTAGCTTGCGGGCCGCCAGTTAAATAGCCTTGATATAAAAGGCAAAGATTCAACATTAAGTGAGTAGATTATCAGCGAATGAGTTAACCCACAAGAGAGCAAATTGTGAGTGGATTGGGCATAGGGTAATATCAAGCATATCTGCCCTATCAGAGAATGCTTTGAACCTACATTGTTAGGATAACTTCAAGATTTTAAATTGTAGTTATATAAAAAATGTACACTCGGCTGCGAATTGGAAGGTCGTGTGTTCGGTTCCTGATCAGGGCTGGATTTTTAAAAAAAATGATGACCTTTTCTTCCAGGTCGACCCACAGCAATGAGGGTCCTGGCTGTCACTAACACTGAGCAGAGACTGCTTCTGTTCCAGGGACTTGTACTTTCTCCCATCAAATATGCTCTTGCCATCCTCACTGTCAGCCATACTTAGATTGAAAGACTTGAGAAGGTGCAAAATGAAGCAATGCGCATTATTCTAGGATGCACTGGAGACACCTCTTGTGTAGCAATGAGGTACATTCTTGACTTCCCTACCATGAACTACAGGATCGAGATCTGGAGGGCTCGTGCAAACCTCAAGATAAGCTCAAATCTGAAGCACCATTTGCACCACATGCTCTTCAAGAAAAAAGACAATAGGCTTAAAAGGGGCAAATCATGGTTAGGTAGGACAGAGGATGACATCATGCAGGTTTGCAGCCTTACAGACATCCATCCAGGTGAGGAGTGGATACCAGAGTCTAAAGCGCCCAATCTCACATTCTCCTGTGTCGTGATGCTCGATAGGAGTTGTCGAGAGCAGAATCCAGCTGCTGTCAGTGCCGAGGTATGCGCACTTATCAGTGGCAAGTCAGATGAGACAGATGGGGTGATCTTCACAGACAGGTCCGTTATACGAGGACATAAGAGTGCATGGGCATTTACAGCTCGCTCTTCAGGCAAAACAGTTAAGGAAGCCAGCAGTGCCTTCTCCATGACCACCAGCAGCTTGACGATGGAGGTGATGGCGGTGACCAGGCTTTCATGTGGCTGGGATCACAGGACTATTCCCGCATGTGTGTGCTGAGTGATTCTTTGAGTATGATCCGGCGGGTCGAGGCAGGCTGGTTACGCAGACAGTGGCTTGAGTCATTGCAAAATTCTCCTGTGTATGCAGTTACTTTCATATTCGTCCCAGGGTATGCAGGCGTTGTTGGTAATGAGAGAGCTGATAGACTGGCAGGCACTGCATTAATTTAAAATGGCCGACTCATGGATCACGCAGACATTGTCATTGCCCTTAGAAAGATAGGACGCTCTGAGGATTTTTAAGCAACATGTCCACATCACTTCTAAGAATACGCAAATTGGGAGTAAAGATCGGCAGAGCCAAGCATGAGAAGCACACTGGACGCACACGAAGTTTTGTTAACCAACATAGGACTGGTACTATTAACCGCAAGACGCTGATGAATATGTTGAGTTGGGAATCTGAGCGCCTATGGATGTGTCCGGAGTGCTGTGAAGATAATCTAACTCATAACTCAGTGGGTACCAGGTACAGTCCTGGGAAGTAAAGGTGGCTGGCGTAATGCTGATCACATCACCCACCAAGTGCCATTTGGTCTATAAAATTTAGGTCTAGCCCTATATACACATAAAAGGCCTGGAAAAGGGCCCTTTGTTGTTGTTGTTGATGTAACAAATGTGAATTGTTTATACATGTTGTATGATGTCATAATCTTCATGTGCCTTAGCAGATGCTTGCATGTTTCTTTGCAAGTCTCTGTCCCTGATGTTCTAAATCACTTCTGTTAATAATACAGTAAAACTTTGTTAAGACAAGCTTGCATAAGATAAACACTCAGCTAAGATGAATAAAAGTTTGTTCCCAGCAGGAATGTATTGTTCATAATACATCTTTTAGTCCTTAGTTGGTACATATTTTTTTTAACACAAACTCTTGATTTTGTGGTCCTTTGGGATTTGTGGTAATGGTTTACTGTATTCAGTTTGAAAATATTTTGAAATATGGTTAGATAGAATTAAATATTTCACTTGTAATAAGGTATCATCATTATAATGTATCATGCCAGGTGTGGCAGGTGTTCATATCTCCCTAAAGATCTTAACTTTCAAAAACAGTGTTATTGATGATATTTCTCCGTGATGTGGTCATACACCTTTGTCTATGGGTTCCGGGGCCGCATTTGTTGACCCACTGCCCCCACCCCCTCCCCCCAACAAGTGTATCATAAGGTGATTAATTAGGTATTTGCTAAAATCTGATATGTTGGGCCAAAAAAGTTCAGATATTGCAGCTGGTTGTAAATCAGCTGTTCTCAACCTGTGGGTCATGACCTTTTTGTGGGTCAAATGGCCCTTTCACAGGGATCGCCAAAGACCATCAGAAAACACATATTTACTGAAGTTATGAAGTAGCAACAAAATTAATTGTACGGTTAGGGGTCGGTACAGCATGAGGAACTGTATTAAAGGGTTGCGGCGTTAGGAAGGTTGAGTGCCACAGCTGTAAAACCAAAACACAATATGCTAACTGTCTTTTAAGGTTGCATTCAGAAGAAGAGGAAGAAGTCATAGACCATCAATCGTTCTCTTCCCATGTCTCTGCTTCTTTAGCCACGGATGTTTCCAACCATCATGATGTTCTTCATTGTCACTTTTCCCACCATAATAACAAAGCACGCTGATTCTTTCTTATAGCTGCGTATGCGGTTCTGCTTTCATTGGGTGTTTCTTGACAGTTGTTTTACTTTATTATTATGTTCTGTTATACTTTGGACCCGAATTCCTGAAAGTGTTTTGTGTTGTTGCAGATGATTTGAAAGTTTTATTGTTAGGGAAAACCTTTAGAGTGTAATATATTGTTCAGGAACTCTTTAGTTTGTTATATATTGTAGGGGAGCCCTTTAGGGTATTATATTGTAGGGGAAACCTTTAGGGTGTTATATAATGTTGGGGAACCCTTTAGGGAGTTAAGTATTGTTGGGGAAGCCTTTAGGGTTTCATATATTGTTAGGAAACCCTTTAAGGGGGGTTATATATTGTTGGAGAAGCGATTAGAATGTTATATATTGTTGTGGAACTCTTTAGAGTGTTTTATATTGTTGGGAAAGCCTTTAGAGTGTTCTGTGTTGTTAGGGAAGCCTTTAGGGTTTTATATAATGTTGGGGAAGCCTTTAGAGTGTGTTGTTGGGGAACCCCTTTACGGTTTTATATAATGTAGGGAAAGCCTTTAGCTCTTTTGAGTCCCAAGGAACGCATCATACGTTCCTGCCTAGAGGCCCAATAAATGCAAGATGCCCCGATTTTACATCTCTTTTGACTACCCCTTGGGCCTCTGATGCTAAACACCCTGGGACTCAAAGAGTTAAGGTGTTTTATTTTTTGGGGGAAGCCTTTAGAGTGATATAAATCTACGGGGAATGCATGCAGGTGTTGTATATTGTTTATGTATACTGAAAAGTTTTTCTTATTGTTGGGGGAACACTTTCATCTGTTGCATGTTGTTGGGGGAACACTTTCATCTGTTGCATGTTGTTGGGGAACACATGCAGGTATTGTATATTGTTGGTGAACACGTGCAGGTGTTACATTGTTATAAATCATTGGAGAAACCATGAGGATGATATTAATATTGAAGAACCTTTAAAGTTGTTATATTTTGGGGAACCTTTGTGATGTTCCCATTTTGTCTTGTGCATGTGGAGTGAGGGTGTGTGTGCATAAAATATCTTGCATAATATTTATAAATATTCACTATTACTATCTCTTGAAATGATAAATTACTTGAATGTTAGATTAGTTGAATGTTAGATTACTTGAATGTTAGATTACTTGAATGTTTGATTACTTGAATTTTACGTAATCTTAGTGCTCATTTTACTAATTTTTTTAAAATACTTTTTTGGAGGCGATTTATATGATGTTATATTAGCCTTTTTTAAAATTTGTTCTTCAACTCCTTCTCCGTTCACCTTTACACTGCTGTAACCATTTGTCGGTATCCCTCATTAGAGCACAGACTCTGAAATGCCTCACATCAAGCCACCGTCCTATCTGTTGCTGTCTCCTGGCAGGTCACTTAGTATCTTTCCACCACCCCTTCCCACCCCCCCCCCTTCCCCATCCTCGCCACCTTTCCCCTCTGACTCATCTCTGGCTATAATTATCTTTTCCATGTTTTTTCATCATACTGATAATCAGGTAGTCAGGAAATCAAAGTCACAGCTTTTATAGCACATGGGCCATTCTCATAGTTCCTCCGATCCTGTGTCAACAAGAACCACACAGAATGTCCTTAAAAAAAAAACTGGCAGACTGCAGTCTCAGCCAATCCAGTAGCATACACACTCTTTCAATGCATAAGGAAGTCATCAGAAATGCAAAACAGTCTTGACACTAGAAATGCAGTTCATTGTCAATGGAAGCAGCAGTTACACCAGATCATCATTATTTGCCCATGCAAATAATTGCATAAGCAACCACCTCAGGTCATTTTCTTTCACTTTTTTTCCCCTCCTACCCTCCAGTGCAAGGACATCAGGCTGTATGTATATATATATATCATAGTTTCTCAGTACATGACCTGTCCAGCACCACTATCTTTTTCTCACCTCCTGATTTACTGTAGTTTCTTTACTTTTCTGTCTTCTCTGTCTGCACCATCGGAGTTGGCACTTGCTGCTGAAGATAAGGACAGAGTGTTTTCTGGAATTTCGTTAGTGCTGTAATGTTGATTCCTGATTCAACATTCTACTTCTCTCTCTTAGTCGATTATTAGTCATGCCATGTTACCTCCTGTGTCCTTAAGCACCACTTTATTATAGTGTCTTCACATAGAAAATAATCAGGCACATTTTTCTTTTGTTCTTATTTGATTTCACAGTACTTTGTGTCTCTAGTTTGGAAATCCTACATTTGTTTAATCCACTTATGCATGTTTATTTTAAAGAGACCCCACCAGCATATATCCACGTATGATCTGTTAGATGTTGTTTGAAATGTTTTCCCATACTAATTTCAGATTTTATTTGACCTCACCCCAACTACAAATGCAGACTTTGAGGTATTTTTTTTTTCCTTTCTGTTTTGCTGTTCGCATTTGCCTTTGCTTACAACTTATAACAATTAACTCTTTCATTTCCAAGAAATTTTTCAGTATATGTTTTTATGGGAAATGGCCATATAAAAATCACAGGTGTTACTTTTAACCCTTTCCATCCCAAATAGTTGTTGCCACAACACTTTAAGTCCAAGAGTATATGAACTTTACAATATCCATGAGCTTTACTAGGTTTAAATAATTCAGCTATGGAACAAAAAATGTTACAGGAAGACAACAAATTATCTAACAGAAGAATGAGTTGAAAGAAGTTGAGAAATATAAGTTAAGATAAATGAACATCAGTGAAATTCATACTAAATAACCAAACCCATAGGACAGCAACTTAGTTTGTAAACATTGGATTGTAAACATTGGATTGTAAACATTGGATTGTAAACATTGGATACCAAAATATAACTTTTATATGGTCGAGCAGGATTCTGGGATTTGCAGCTTTTGGATTTACAGGAAAATTATGAACAGCTTCCACAAAACATACTTGGGGTAAATACAGAATAGTTGAATTTCAGAGACACCACCATGAAAATAGCACAAGAAATATGTGGAACTAAAAGGAAAGGTAACATAGGATGTAAGCTCTCAACATGGTGGTCTGAAGAAAAAAGAAGAATTGTGAGCAATAAAAAGAAAGCTTATGGCATTTAGAACAAAAGAGGATTACATAACATACAGGATAATTAGAAGAGAAGTAAACAGAACTATCAGACAAGCAAAAAGAGATTCATGAGAAAAGTTTGGAAGCAAGCTGGCTGAAGAAGAAAGAACAGTAGTGAAAAACTACTACATCAGACGAATGCTAGGAATAAAGCCAGTCTTACAGGTCATCAAAGAACAACAAATGAAGTGGTTTGGACACCTAACAAGATTGCCCTGGTACTATCTGCCACAGTGAGCCACACTAAAACGTTACAACGGGTATAGAGCGAGTGGAAGACCTTGGCAATTGATAGAGTGAGGGCATTAAGAACAGCCTTACAGAAATGAACATCAGTCTTAATAGTGCTCATGACAGAGCTCATCAACGTACATTACATCTCCCCCCGACACTTCGATGAGGTACAAGGTGGAAGAGAAGAATAAGAAGAAGGATTTACAGATGAAAAATGACCTTTTGTGTCACTGGGTGTCAATCTGTCAAGAAGCTATTGAAAAAGGGTCAAAAGGAGTAATACCAGTGACATTTTATTATTTACCTTGTATCAAAAGAGTCCATTAACAGAAAATATAAAGAACTAAAGGACTAGTCAGTTTGACAAAAGCATGACAAGAACAAATGTCATTACATTCAAAGCTAAGCTAAATCCATAGTGTGGGAGCCGTAGTATCATAATAGCTTGATGCTTGCCTACCAGCCTGAAGGTCCTCTATTTTGAATCCGCATAAAGCCATATTTTTTTCCCTTCAAAATTGGCCTACTCTCCCAGGTCAACCTAGCTCAAAATGGGAACCAGGTTTTTTAGGAGGTAAGGATAGTTGGCATAATGTTGACCATATTACCCAATTAGTGTGGCTAGACTTGAACACTATACATGAAGCCAAAAAAGAGAATAGTAAAACCACATAGAACTGTGTGTTATCTGTTGTCACACACTGGCAGATGCTCGAAGCTAAGAGGAAAGGCAAGACGGACGTTTTAATCAGAATGCTACTGGCACCATTAGTATCGGAACTCTTCGCTGGCTGCTGAAGATGGGGACGGAGCGCTTATGGGAATGCCCCGAGTGTTGTGATGTCGGTTCTTGAATCAAATCAAATCAACACACTGAGGGAGAGACTGAAGATGGGATCTAAGCATTTATGGACTTGTCGGTTACACAGTGAGGATGATAGGTTGTTTTACTAACTAACCCAATGAGGGCCATCTGTTCTTTGGAAATGTGAGTTTAGCATCATATTCCCAGTATACCACTGTGAAAAAAAAAATTTTATACACAGTTAAAAGTAGTTACTTGGTTAGCCAGATTTTCTTACTAAGCTTTAACCAAATCTAAAATGTAACAGAACAAATTGTGCTTTGTTTGGGATTCAAGGGTTAAAAGCCAATCACACATCATGTTTTGTTTGGGACTGCAGGAGTTAATCATTTGTTTGCGCTTCTTTCAGTGTAACCTTTATTCCATTTTGATGTTTGGATTTTGTTTTTAAGTATAGTTTCAACAGTTTTTGTTCAGTTGTCTTTTTTATTTTATAGAGATATGAAATATGTGTGTGCGTTATGGAACATAATTTGCCTCCCTGTGTGGGTTCCATGGTATTTTTTTTCTAAGGGGGAGGGGGGAAGGTAGATCCCCCCCACACCCCCCCACCCCCCACCCCATCCCCCAGCAAGCATCTCGTAAAAGACAACTAATTAGAGGTTTTTCTGTTGAAATCGGAATGCTTCTGCCTGAGAGACGAGGAGCCAGTAATCTGCATATAAATAAGTTAGATCTTTAAAACAGATGTGAATGCACAACTCAAGTTCTAGAACAAGACTAAAGAAGGTGAAAAATCAGGAGTTTCAGTCAGAACTTGCCACAGTAGCTTAAAGCCAGCAAGCGTGAAGAGGAAGAAGATGTAATTTGCCATTTTTACAAAGTAACTATGAGTTTACCTTATAGGCACTGAGGTAAAGCAATGGTTGCCAACCTGCCTGCTGGCCCAGTAGTCAGACTCAGGTTTCTTTATTCATCTTCTGCATTTGCTGTTTAAAAAGTCTGTAATTTTCCCTACAAAAGTAGAGCGCCAGAAACCACACAGTCGCTCACATTTTAAATTAGTTGGATTTTCAGAGTTGACATGAGATTCCAGACTGATCTAGCGACTAAAATAGAGACTGGGAAATGCTCTGGGCAGTAAAGATAGCCAGCAAATTGATCTAAAAAACCATTACAAAAACCCAGTGTACCTCAAGGTGTGAAAATTGAACCTTGTCTTTTCTAACACTATTAGAAGTATTGGACCCTTTTTCACTGGAGTGATGCATCGGGCATACGTTTCCAAACTCATGCCCAACTCTAATTTAAAACACTTTCTATCTATATCTGTATCCTCTTCAGATCATTGTTGACACTTAAGGCATTCACAAGTAACCTCAGTGCTGCCAGTCTGTTGAATGAATAAAGTTCAACCCCACCAGTACTGCATAGCAAGCGATAAACATGCTGTGACACAAAGTGCCACCATTAGGATAAGAAACACCCAGGAGCAAGTCCCAGAAAGCCTGGTCTATTGTATGCAGGCTGTTGGTTCCTTGCCTCTCAGGCAGATGCACTTTGACTTAGAAGGAAACATTTCTTATTAGTGGACTTCTGTGAACACATTATGCGTGGGTCAGTGATGAAGTAAGATATTCTATCCAAACACCACTATGCATGGGTCATGGATGAAGAAAGATATTCTATTTAAACACTATGCATGGGTCATGGATGAAGAAATATATTCTATCCAAACACTATGCATGGGTCATGGATGAAGAAAGATATTATATCTAAACACTATGTGTGGGTTATAGATGAAGAAAGATATTCTCTCTAAACACTATCCATGGGTCAGTGATGAAGAAAGATATTCTATCTAAACACTATCTGTGGGTCAGTGATGAAGAAAGATATTCTATCTAAACACTATGTGTGGGTCAGGGATGAAGAAAGATATTCTATCTAAACACTATGTGTGGGTCAGGGATGAAGAAAGATATTCTCTCTAAACACTATGTGTGGGTCAGGGATGAAGAAAGATATTCTATCTAAACACTATGTGTGGGTCAGGGATGAAGAAAGATATTCTATCTAAACACTATGTGTGGGTCAAGGATGAAGAAAGATATTCTATCTAAACACTATGTGTATGTCAGGGATGAAGAAAGATATTCTATCTAAACACTATGTGTGGGTCAGGGATGAAGAAAGATATTCTATCTAAACACTATGTGTGGGTCAGGGATGAAGAAAGATATTCTCTCTAAACACTATGTGTGGGTCAGGGATGAAGAAAAATATTCTATCTAAACACTATGTGTGGGTCAGGGATGAAGAAATATATTCTATCTAAACACTATGGGTGGATCAAGGATAAAGAAATATATTCTCTCTAAACACTATGTGTGGATCAGGGATGAAGAAAGATATTCTCTCTAAACACTATGTGTGGATCAGGGATGAAGAAAGATATTCTATCTAAACACTATGTGTGGGTCATGGATGAAGAAAGAAATTCTATCTAAACCACTATGTGTGGGTCAGGGATGAAGAAATATATTCTCTCTAAACACTATGTGTGGATCAAGGATGAAGAAAGATATTCTATCTAAACACTATGGGTGGATCAGGGATGAAGAAAGATATTCTCTCTAAACACTATCCATGGGTCAGGGATGAAGAAATATATTCTCTCCACTTTCTGTGGGTCAGTGATGAAGAAAGATATTCTCTCTAAACACTATGTGTGGGTCAGGGATGGGAAGAAAGATAATTCTATTAAACCTATGTGTGGGTCAGGTATGAAGAAAGATATTCTATCTAAACACTATGTGTGGGGTCAGGGGATGAAGAAAGATATTCTATCTAAACACTATGTGTGGGTCAGGGATGAAGAAAGATATTCTATCTAAACACTATGTGTGGGTCAGGGATGAAGAAAGATATTCTATCTAAACACTATGTGTGGGTCAGGGATGAAGAAAGATATTCTCTCTAAACACTATGTGTGGATCAGGGATGAAGAAAGATATTCTATCTAAACACTATGTGTGGGTCATGGATGAAGAAAGAAATTCTATCTAAACACTATGTGTGGGTCAGGGATGAAGAAATATATTCTCTCTAAACACTATGTGTGGATCAAGGATGAAGAAAGATATTCTATCTAAACACTATGGGTGGATCAGGGATGAAGAAAGATATTCTATCTAAACACTATGTGTGGATCAGGGATGAAGAAAGATATTCTATCTAAACACTATGGGTGTATCAGGGATGAAGACAGATATTCTATCTAAACACTATGTGTGGATCAGGGATGAAGAAAGATATTCTATCTAAACACTATGTGTGGATCAGGGATGAAGAAAGATATTCTATCTAAACACTATGGGTGGATCAGGGATGAAGAAAGATATTCTATCTAAACACTATGTGTGGGTCAGGGATGAAGAAAGATATTCTATCTAAACACTATGGGTGGATCAGGGATGAAGAAAGATATTCTATCTAAACACTATGTGTGGGTCAGGGATGAAGAAAGATATTCTCTCTAAACACTATCCATGGGTTGTTGGAGGACACATTTTACCTAACATTGATGTTTTACGTATGCTTTAAATAATTGTTTTTGTTCACATTAGCACAGACTAGAATAAGTTTTGACACAGAGATAGATCTGGACTTGTCTGGAGTTAAGCGTTGACATAGACTGGAGTTAAAGCATTGACATAGACTGGAGTTAAAGCATTGACATAGACTGGAGTTAAGCATTGACATTGACTTGAGTTAAGCATTGACATATAATGGAGTTAAGCATTGACATATACTGGAGTTAAGCATTGATATATACTTGAGTTAAGCATTGACATAGCCTGGATTAAGCATTGACATATAATGGAGTTAAAGCATTGACATAGACTGGAGTTAAAGCATTGACATAGACTGGAGTTAAGCGTTGACATAGACTGGAGTTAAAGCATTGACATATACTGGAGTTAAAGCATTGACATATACTGGAGTTAAGCATTGATATATACTTGAGTTAAGCATTGACATAGCCTGGATTAAGCATTGACATACACTGGAGTTACGCATTGACATAGACTGGAGTTTAGCCTTCAATGTTCACAGTGACATAGACTGAGACTGAAATTATGACACAGAATTAATCAGATTGAAAATGATGAGTCAACCATTGCATGCTCTTGTCAAGATAGTCTGAAGATAGGAATTGGTTTTCTCAATCAGTAGAATTTATTCATACATAATGGCTGTCACCTGATCCTTTCTAACATTGCCTGCATCTCACATTCCCAGAATTCCTGTGATGTTTTTGTATATTCGTTAACATTTGCATGATGTACATAAACAGCTGTCATTGCTTGTGGATATGTCTTTACTGGTTTTTAATTTTAATTTTTGTTTGTGTGTGTTTTTTTATTTTGTTTTTGTTAAATAAATTACAGATAAATTGTATTAATATTCGATCTTTGAAAGTCATTTCTAAATAGATTTATGTTACTGTCAAATTTTATTATCTGCATTTTCCACAGTAATAATTTTTACAATATTTGTATAATAAAAACACTACTGGCAACATCAGAATTGGAACTCTTCGCAGGATGCTAAAGATGAGGCTGGAGTGCGTTTGGCAATGTTAATGAGTGCTATGTCTCAGTTTATTAGTTAAACACTCAACATCTAATACTCAGATAAATGCTGGGATTATCCTGTTGTGACAATTGCATTCTCAGCATGGAGTCAGGCATCATGTCAGCTGACACAAGCCCTGTGCAGACATACCTGCTCTCACCAGACATTGATGCTCACGACCCTTCGTTTTCAAGAGAGGGAGGTTTCTATCTGCTGAGGAAAGATTCTGAGAGAAGGCAGACACTGGTGCACATCCTGGATCAGGACTCTCAGAAGGTTTGTTGATAAATGTGTCAGTTGGGAAGCGTTAAAGGTTTGTTTTTGATACTACAATAGAGTGGATACTCATGGTGTCAAAGGTTTGTCAGTGAGGCAGCAAGATAAGTAATAAGGGTGCACTTTAAGGTTTGTCAGTGAGGCAACAATGTAGTAGATAAGGGTGAAGTTAAAGGTTTGTCACTGAGGTAACAATATAGTAGATAAGGGTGAAGTTGAAGGTTTGTCAGGAAAGCAGCAGTATAGTGGATAATGGTGGACAGCTCTGTTGTTAAAAGCATATGCAAGAAAGAATTTCACAGTTATGTCAACACAGATGTAAAACAGACATGCAGGCAGAGCACAGTGATTTAATTAAACAGAAATGTAAAACCATATGCAAAAGCAGCACATTTTCTTCCATAATTGAAAAATATTGCCTGCATTTTCTTATCTTGAATCTGTTATTTTATTGTTCCCAGATTTGTTCCAGCTGGTTAGATCTGCTCCGTAGAGACGCCACTATATCTAGTCAAAAGCTGACCTCTGTAAGTACATTTAGTCTCAAATAAATATAGTCATACCCTCCATGGCTTTAACACTCTGCAGTTGCAGCCAGTACCAAAACTCTCATACTGGCATACTGGGCACTGTCCAAAGACATAATATCAACCAAAACCCATAAAAGTAGGAAAAATGGCTTACTTAGGGTGAGAGGTTAATATTTTTCTTGGTACCTATTTTTAGACTGAATATTGTGAAAAGTAAAAGCTGCCAGCATGATATTTTCATCGACTATATACTTCCAGTATACATCATAATATACTTCCAGTATACATCACAATATACTTCCAGTATACATCACAATATACTTCCAGTATACATCACAATATACTTCCAGTATACATCACAATATACTTCCAGTATACATCACAATATACTTCCAGTATACATCACAATATACTTCCAGTATACATCACAATATACTTCCAGTATACTATACTTCAAGTATACATCACATTATACTTTCAGTATACTATACTTCCAGTATACATCACATTATACTTCCAGTATACTATACTTCCAGTATACATCACAATATACTTCCAGTATACATCACAATATACTTCCAGTATACTATACTTCCAGTATACATCACATTATACTTCCAGTATACTATACTTCCAGTATACATCACATTATACTTCCAGTATACTATACTTCCAGTATACATCACAATATACTTCCAGTATACATCACAATATACTTCCAGTATACATCACAATATACTTCCAGTATACATCACAATATACTTCCAGTATACATCACAATATACTTCCAGTATACTATACTTCCAGTATACATCACAATTATACTTCCAGTATACTATACTTCCAGTATACATCACAATATACTTCCAGTATACATCACAATATACTTCCAGTATACTATACTTCCAGTATACATCACATTATACTTCCAGTATACTATACTTCCAGTATACATCACATTATACTTCCAGTATACTATACTTCCAGTATACATCACAATATACTTCCAGTATACATCACAATATACTTCCAGTATACATCACAATATACTTCCAGTATACATCACAATATACTTCCAGTATACTATACTTCCAGTATACATCACAATATACTTCCAGTATACATCACAATATACTTCCAGTATACATCACAATATACTTCCAGTATACATCACAATATACTTCCAGTATACTATCACAATATACTTCTCAGTATACATCACCAATATACTTCCAGTATACATCACAAATATACTTTCCAGTATACATCACAATATACTTCCAGTATACATCACAATATACTTCCAGTATACATCACAATATACTTCCAGTATACTATATACTTCAGTTATACATCACAATTATAACTTTCAGTATATACTTCCAGTATACATCACATATACTTCCAGTATACTATACTTTACCAGTATACATCACAATATACTTCCAGTATAAACATCACAATATACTTCCAGTATACTATACTTCCAGTATACATCACATTATACTTCCAGTATACTATACTTCCAGTATACATCACATTATACTTCCAGTATACTATACTTCCAGTATACATCACAATATACTTCCAGTATACATCACAATATACTTCCAGTATACTATACATCACAGTATACTTCACATTATACATCCAGTATATATACTTCCAGTATACATCACAATATACTTCCAGTATACTATACACAATATACTTCACAATATACTTCCAGTATACATCACAATATACTTCCAGTATACATCACAATATACTTCCAGTATACATCACAATATACTTCCAGTATACATCACAATATACTTCCAGTATACATCACAATATACTTCCAGTATACAGATATCAACAATATACTTCCAGTATACATCACAATATACTTCCAGTATACATCCACAATATACTTCCAGTATACATCACCAATATACTTCCAGTATACTATACTCTTCCAGTATACATCACAATATAATTCCAGAATATCTATACTTCCAGTATACATCACAATATACTTCCAGTATACTATACCCTCCAGTATACATCACAGTATACTTCAAGTATCACAAATACTTCCAGTATACATCACAATATACTTCCAGTATACATCACAATATACTTCCAGTATACATCACAATATACTTCCAGTATACATACAATATACTTCCAGTATACATCACAATATACTTCCAGTATACTATACTTCCAGTATACATCACAATATACTTCCAGTATACTATACTTCCAGTATACATCACAATATACTTTCCAGTATACTATACTTCCAGTATACATCACAATATACTTCCAGTATCACTATACTCCAGTATACATCACAATATACTTCCAGTATACATCACAATATACTTCCAGTATACATCACAATATACTTCCAGTATACATCACAATATACTTCCAGTATACATCACAATATACTACTCCAGTATACATCACAATATACTTCCAGTATACATCACAATATACTTCCAGTATACAACACAATATACTTCCAGTATACATCACAATCATACTTCCAGTATACATCACAAATATACTTCCAGTATACATATACTATATCACAGTATACATCACAATATACTTCCAGTATAATATACCTCCCAGTATACATCACATTATACTTCCAGTATACTATACTTTCCAGTATACATCACAATATACTTCCAGTATACATCACAATTATACTTCCAGTATACTATACTTCCAGTATACATCACATTATACTTCCAGTATACTATACTTCCAGTATACATCACCATTATACTTCCAGTATACTATACTTCCAGTATACATCACAATATACTTCCAGTATACATCACAATATACTTCAGTATACATCACAATATACGTCCAGTATACATCACAAATATACTTCCAGTATACATCACAATATACTTCCAGATACATCACAATATACTTCCAGTATACATCACAATATACTTCCTTCCATGCTTCCTATACCTCCAGTATACTTCACAATATTCAGTATACCTATACATCACATATATACAGTAACTATATACTTCCAGTATACTATACTTCCACCTATACATCACAATATACTTCCAGTATACTATACTTCCAGTATACCTCACAATATACTTCCAGTATACATCACAATATACTTCCAGTATACTATACTTCCAGTATACATCACAATATACTTCCAGTATACTCACAATATACTTCCAGTATACATCACAATATACTTCCAGTATACATAACAATATACTTCCAGTATACATCACAATATACTTCCAGTATACATCACAATATACTTCCAGTATACATCACAATATACTTCCAGTATACATCACAATATACTTCCAGTATACATCACAATAGACTTCCAGTATACATCACAATATACTTCCAGTATACTATACTTCCAGTATACATCAAATTATACTTCAGTATACTATACCTCCAGTATACATCACATTATACTTCCAGTATACTATACTTCCAGTATACATCACAATATACTTCCAGTATACATCACAATATACTTCCAGTATACTATACTTCCAGTATACATCACATTATACTTCCAGTATACTATACTTCAGTATACATCACATATACTTCCAGTATACTATACTTCCAGTATACATCACAATATACTTCCAGTATACATCACAATATACTTCCAGTATACATCCATTCACAATATACTTCCAGTATACATCACAATATACTTCCAGTATACATCACAATATACTTCCAGTATACTAGACTTCCAGGATACATCACAATATACTTCCAGTTATACATCACAATATAACTTCCAGTATACATCACAATATACTTCCAGTATACACATCACAATATACTTCCAGTATACTATACTTCAGTATACATCACAATATACTTCCAGTATACTATACTTCCAGTATACATCACAATATACTTCCAGTATACTATACTTCCAGTATACATCACAATATACTTCCAGTATACTATACTTCCAGTATACATCACAATATACTTCTAGTATACTATACTTCCAGTATACATCACAATATACTTCCAGTATACATCACAATATACTTCCAGTATACTATACTTCCAGTATACATCACAATATACTTCCAGTATACATCACAATATACTTCCAGTATACATCACAATATACTTCCAGTATACATCACAATATACTTCCAGTATACATCACAATATACTTCCAGTATACATCACAATATACTTCCAGTATACATCACAATATACTTCCAGTATACATCACAATGTGAATATTCTTTAAAAAGTAGCAATCCCAGTGAGAAAACTAGCCAGCTCCACAACACCTACGTCCATGAACTATGCTATGAACACTGCAGCTAGAAAGTCTTCATGAGTATAAGCTCAAACTGACAATGATACAGTTGCAAGCAAGAATACCTGAAATCATTTAGCTCTTGTAAAAGTAAAAGTAAGTAAAGATCCCTTTTCCAAACATTTAGGCAATTTGGGAATAGAGGGCTACACCCATATTTTTTAAGGACAAATTGGCATTTGGTGGATGATGTGGTCAGCATCACGCTAGCCACCTTTACTTCCCAGGACTGCACCTGGTAACCACTTAAGGTTGGGTCAGCCTGGGAGTCAAGGTCATTTTTAAAAAAAAGTCAGGCTCCGTCTGGCCACGAAACCACAATCTTCCGATCTGCAGGCGGGCTTCTAGCCGTAAACCCCAGGGCAACTCCCATTTAGTTCTTGACAATTTTATTATGTTTTTTATAACTTAATTGTTGCAGTGCCAGTAAATTTTGGATTTTTTGTTTCCTGCAGGATCATCTTAAAAGTCTGCTTATTGGGATAAAGGGATACATATTGGATCAGTCCATCCAGGCAGTGAAGGAAGCAATAGGTAGTGTAGTGTTAACAGTGGCCTGGTCTTGTGTAATGTCAGTGTCCAGCTGTCCAGACATTCTTCTGTCAACTTTCTGTTTACCAGACAACCTACAAGAGAGTGACAGTTTGATATATTTATATAATAGGTACTTTCTGTTTAACAGACAACCTACAAGAGAGTGTCAGTTTGATATATTTATATAATAGGTACTTTCTGTTTAACAGACAACCTACAAGAGAGTGTCAGTTTGACATATTTATATAATAGGTTAACTTTTCTGTTTAAACAGACAACCTACAAGAGAAGTGTCAGTTTTGATATATTTATATATAATAGATACTTTCTATTTAACAGACAACCTACAAGAGAGTGACAGTTTGATATATTTATATAATATGTACTTTCTGTTTAACAGACAACCTGTGAGAGAATGTTCAGTTTGACAGATTTGTGTAATAGTTAACTTTCTAGTTTGAGAAGCCTGCGAAAGAGTGTCCAGTCTGACAGATTTGATACAATATGTAACTTTCTGTTTTACAGACAACCTGCGAGAGAGTGTCCAGTCTGACAGATTGATATAATACGTAACTTTCTGTTTTACAGACAACCTGCGAGAGGGTGTCCAGTCTGACAGATTGATATAATACGTAACTTTCTGTTTTACAGACAACCTGCGAGAGAGTGTCCAGTTTGATGCTACAGCTCTCATGGAGATACAGCTGGCTTTGTATGTCTTTCATAATGCAGTAAGTTTGTTTCTTGTCACATATCTGAACAACCCTGAGACTGACACCTGTCACATATCTGAACAACCCTGAGACTGACACCTGTTGCATATCTGAACAACCCTGAGACTGAAACCTGTCACATATCTGAAGCCTGAGACTGACACCTGTCACATATCTGAACAACCCTGAGACTGACACCTGTCATATATCTGAAGCCTGAGACTGACACCTGTCACATATCTGAACAACCCTGAGACTGACACCTGTCACATATCAGACCAACCCTGAGACTGACACCTGTCACATATCTGAACAACCCTGAGACTGACACCTGTCATATATCTGGAGCCTGAGACTGACACCTGTCACATATCTGAACAACCCTGAGACTGACACCTGTCACATATCAGAACAACCCTGAGACTGACACCTGTCACATATCTGAACAACCCTAAGACTGACACCTGTCACATATCTGAAGCCTGAGACTGACACCTGTCACATTTTTGAAGCCTAAGAATGACACCTGTCACATATTTGAACCCTGAGAATGACACCTGTCAAATATCTAAAGTCTGAGAATGACACCTGTCACATATCTGAAACCTGAGACTGACACCTGTCACATATCTGAAACCTGGGACTGACACCTGTTGCATATCTGAAACATGAGACTGACATCTGTCACATGTTTGAAGCAGGAGACTGACACCTGTCACATATCTGAAACCTGAGACTGACATCTGTCACATATCTGAAGCCTGAGACTGACACCTGTTGCATATCTGAACCTTGAGACTGACATTTGTCACATATCTGAAGCCTGAGACTGACACCTGTCACATATCTAAAACCTGAGACTGACACCTGTTGCATATCTGAACCCTGAGACTGACATCTGTCACATATCTGAAGTCTGAGACTGACACCTGTCACATATCTTAAACCTGAGACTGACGCCTGTCACATATCTAAAACCTGATACTAACTGACACCTGTCACATATCTGAAACCTTAGACTGACACCTATCACATATTTGAAACCTGAGACTGACACCTGTTGCATATCTGAAACATGAGACTGACATCTGTCACATGTTTGAAGCAGGAGACTGACACCTGTCACATATCTGAAACCTGAGACTGACATCTGTCACATATCTGAAGCCGGAGACTGACACCTGTTGCATATCTGATCCCTGAGACTGACATCTGTCACATATCTGAAGCCTGAGACTGACACCTGTCACATATCTAAAACCTGAGACTGACACCTGTTGCATATCTGAACCCTGAGTCTGACATCTGTCACATATCTGAAGTCTGAGACTGACACCTGTCACATATCTAAAACCTGAGAATGACACCTGTCACATAGTCTAAAACCTGATACTAACTGACACCTGTCAATTATCTAAAACCTGAGACATTCTGTTAAATGTCAGGATCTTGCATGAGACAGATTTTCAGACTGATATCGAAAACATGTGAACAGTGGTTCTCACATTGTGCTAAAAAACTCCACAGGTCAGCATCAGTCTGAAGGAGCACAGCATCAAACCACACTGGATGTTTGCCTTAGACAACCTTCTCAGAGGTGCCGTCCAGGTGGCCATCACCATACTTTCTCCAGGTAACTTGACTGAGAGTCCCAGACAGATGTTATTTTAACTCATTATTTCATAAGAAGTTGTTAATTTAACAGATACCCCGTGTGGGTTCAGAGGCTCCATTGTGGGAAAAACCAGCATAGACCCACTGCCTGCCCAAACGTGTAAGGAATCGACTAATTGGAAGCCTTTTTTTTTTAAAGTCTGAGTACATTGCCTGAGAGGCAAGGAAATAACAGTCTGCATGCAAATGAGTCAGACCTCTGAAACAGATGTGCACACAACACTCCGGTTTTGGAACCAGACTTGAATCCAGAAGTGGACAGACAACCAGAACTTTCTGCCGAAGTTTACAGCCGGTGAACTTGAAGAACAAACAGATGTTTGGGTCTGATGGAATGAAATAATAATACAATGAAGCAGAAAGTTTAAACTGATGCATGATTTACTATAACAACTGGATAGGGATCAGAAATGTATATAATAGAAATAGAAATCAACAAACACATGATTTGCGGCTTGGTACTGAATGAGTGAAGTAAAAGTAAAAAGTAAAGTAAAATAATAATTAAAAGTAAAGCAGTTAATAAGTAAAGTAAAATAATAAGTAAAAGGGAAGCAGTAAGTCAAAGTAAAGTAATAAGTAAATGTGAAGTAGTAAGTAAAAGTAAGAAAATACATAAACCTAAAGTAGTGAGTAAAAGTAAAATAATAAGTAAAAATGAGGTAATAAGAAAATAATAAGTAAAAGTAAAGTAGTAAGTAAAGGTAAATAAGTGAAAGCAAATTAGTAGTAGTAAGTAAAAGTAAAGTAATAAGTAAAAGTGAAGTAGTAAGTTAAAGTGAAGTAGTTAAGTAAAGGTAATAAGTAAAGGTAAAGTAATAAGTGAAAGTAAAGTAATAAATAAAAGTAAGAAGTAAGTAAAAGTTGAGTAAGAAGTAAAGAAAAATACCCTTTTCACCATTGGTGTATCAGGTAGCTCATCAGGCATATTATTCTAGGCTGTTTTTGTTTTTATAGACTACTCGGTACTTGATGCATATTATGGTCAGAGTGATAGCAGCCACCTTTTCTTTCCATATCCTGGTGCCAGTTTTTAGCTGGATTGACCTGGCTGCCGTGGTCAGTTTATTAACTCTCTCTCAGTCCCAGTGGGGTTTAGCCTCAGAGGCCCAGGCGATTGTTAAGAAAGACATACGGCTTATCTTGATTTCATTGAGCTTCTAGGTAGCAGTTATACCCTTTGTCGTTACTTTTCAATTAGGCTTTTTATTCAAAAAATATTCATGTTACCTATGTTGTTGTTTAAGTGTAACTAAATGCATAGCAAACACCAAAACATATCACTTATCCCTAAAATTAGGATAGAGCTATACAAAACAAGTTTAGCGTACTCCACAGCTCAATTGTGGAACCATCTTCCACAACAAATCAGAAATACCACTAGTCTCAAAACATACAGTTGGAAACTTTTTGAATATTATCTGGACACAGTTTACATGTCCCCATAAAAGATACAAGTATTTTATAAATGGCGCATATTTTCCCCTAGGTTTTTTACAATTACTAGGGTTTACAGTCGTTACAAATGTGCACATTCCAGTGATTGTATATAATATTTAGCTGCTGTTAATAATGTTTACTATTACTAAATGTATGAATGAAATGACTTATGAAAGGAGGGAGACTAGAAGGGCAGAAAGTTAGACAGGCCTGGCTGCCAAATTCGTAACCCTTTGAAACTAAAGTTTCATATTTTTTTGGTTTATTCATTCCTAAGCCTTAGCAGTGAACACTTTTTAGTGAATGATTACATCTTTCTCTACTTTGTAGAACTGGGTGCCAACCTGGCAGGAGAGGGTAAATGTGATGATGAAGCTGTTACATCTGGCGTGTCGTCTGCCAACTCTGTGAGAGCACAGACCTACCGCAAGCAGGCTTGTAATGAGTTGGAGGCACAAGTCTCGCAGATGCAGGAAGAAAATATCAGGTGAGGTTGTTTCCTGACTTTTTTTTTAAATGTTGTCAAGGATTGCAAGCTGATAAATGCGCTGTTTGTACCAACTTTATGCTATCAATACCAGGCATGAATAATCCTAGCATAATAAAAAGAAAATTCACAACATGTGAGATGAGTTATCTTAGAAATGCAATGTGGGAAAAGTAAGATGACACAGAGTCACCAATAAAGAACTAAAACAATGGTAGGCGCGGCACCAGTAAATGATTTTTTAAAACAGGAAAGGATCAAATGGTTTGGTTGTCTGGTCAGAATGGAACAAAATCAGCCAGCAGTTGAGTGTACTACCTGAGAAAAGCAGGCTACAAGGCAAGAGGCCGACCAAGAAAGTATGAATGGAGGAAGTAAATGAGACATTCCAGAAATGTAGTATGACATTAACACAAGCTGCACAGTTAGTAACAGACGGTAAACTACATCTGACACTTCTCTGCGACGCTTTACGGCAGAGTCTTAGAGCTAAGGTAGACCAAGAACAAGATGGAAGGATAACAGTAGAGAATCTTTAAAACAGCATGACATGCCTGTTGTTGCGATGGCTAGAAGAGCAAGAAGTAGAAACTTATATCTCGCTCAGCACAAGAAGTGGTAAAAGAGTAAGTGGGAAGTGAAGAAGAAGAAGATGGAACTGATCAAAGAGTAGTTGCAACATAAAATTGCCTGGTAAAAGCACAAAAAGCCAACAGATGCCGGGGTTGTTTGTGAAGTACTTTAAAGGATATGCAACTGACCAAAAGGCAAAATAATATAATTGTAAAATGATTGTTACTAGAATTATTGGGATAAAAACTTGTAAAACACAAGTAAAATTGGTCGGGGAGGGGGAAATTAAATAATGGTTCATGTAATAATTTATTTGTTTCTATGCAGGTTGTTACAAGAATTATTAGAAGCACAGAGACAATACAAGAGCTTACTGCAGCAAACATTACAGGAGAAGAAAATGTCTATACTACAGCTAAGGTATGTTTTCACCTCAAACAGAATCCCCTCCTGAAGGCTGTTCTAGTTTGGCCTTATTAAATGTCATTGTGACCTGGAGAGGACCGTGATGCCTGATACAATTTCAGAAAATAAGCAGAGGCAGACCTGCAAATATGGATACAAGACATTGAAGATGCGTTGGCTGTGAAAGCACATAAGGCTGGGGAATTGGCTAGAGAAAGAGAGACTTTCAGGTGTGCTGTGGTAGGAAGCAACATTCTGTAAATGACCTGCTGATTGATGATTGATGATGAATATGTTTCCTCTTCTGTACTCCTGTCCCCTGTGTCAGTTTCTGTAGTTAAATCAGTAGTTAACATCAGCTTCATGATATTCCTCTAAAGTTCTTGATGAAATAAATTGTAATTAGGTAAACTAAGGACTGTCTTTTTAACTATTGGCACATCAGGTATTATGGTTTAGAATAGTATTTCTGTGGGGTACGTGGCTAAGGCGTTGCGAGTCCGACTCGTAAGCCAGCATACCGCGATCGAAACCCACTGCAGGCTGCGTGGATTTTTGTCGTGGTATGGGGACGTCGCAGGTCGACCCAGCCTAAAAAGGGTACCAGGATGGGTTGTCCTGGGAAAGTAAAGACAGCCGGAGTAATGCTGACCACATTACCCACAGAGTGCTGATGGTCTGTAAAAATATGGGACGCTCTGCCCATATGCCCGATGCGCCGAAAGGCGTGAAAAGGGAACCTTACTTTACTTTTATAGTATTTCTGTAGACCAGTTTTGATAAAGCAGATATCTAAGCCTCAACTCTTCTAAAAGAAGCGGCTCACAAACGGGACTAGTTGTCAATCAAGATAGAACAGAATACATGATAATAACAAGACAGGGAAAGGATTACCTTGATGTAGCCTTTTGTCCTGTACAAATGTTTTTAAAAAAAACCGCCATAAAAACAAAGTGCTTTATCTCACAAAAGGGAACTGCCATTGTGTATTGGCTAGGCACTCGCCTGTGGATCTGAAAGTCATAAGTTCAGATCCTGATTTAGCTGGACTTTTTTCAGACATGACCTTGACTCCCAGGTCCACCAAGCCTTACATGGGTACCAGGTAAAGTCCTGGGAAATAAAGGCAAAGGCATGATGTTTATCACATCACCCACCGAATGCCGATTATTCTATAACATATTGTCTAGCCGCGTATGCCCAGAATGCATGATGGTGGAAAAAAGAAAAGGGATCCTTATCTCACAAAGACGTCAAAGAATAGAACTCACAGGTATGCTGTTACAGAAACTTCTTCTTCTTCTTCTTCTGCGTTCATCCTAAGACAAAAAAGAATAGAACTCACAGGTATGCTGTTATAGAATCTTCTTCTTCTTCTGCGCTCACCCAAAGACATCAAAGAATAGAACTCACAGGTATGCTGTTATAGAATCTTTTTCTTCTGCATTCTTCCAAAGATATAGAAGAATAGAACTCACAGGAATGCTGTTATAGAATCTTCTTCTTCTTCTTCTTCTGCATTCATCCTAAGACAAAAAAGAATAGAACTCACAGGTATGCTGTTATAGAATCTTCTTCTTCTTCTGCGTTCATCCTAAGACAAAAAAGAATAAAAATCACAGGTATGCTGTTATAGAATCTTCTTCTTCTTCTTCTTCTGCATTCATCCTAAGACAAAAAAGAATAGAACTCACAGGAATGCTGTTACAGAATCTTCTTCTTCTTCTTCTTCTGCATTCATCCTAAGACAAAAAAGAATAGAAATCACAGGTATGTTGTTATAGAATCTTCTTCTTCTTCTTCTTCTGCATTCATCCTAAGACAAAAAAGAATAGAACTCACAGGAATGCTGTTATAGAATCTTCTTCTTCTGGCTTCATCCTAAGACAAAAAAGAATAGAACTCACAGGTATGCTGTTATAGAATCTTCTTCTTCTTCTTCTTCTTCTTCTTTTGCGTTGATCCAAAGACATAAAAGAATAGAACTCACAGGTATGCTGTTATAGAATCTTCTTCTTCTTCTTCTGCGTTGATCCAAAGACTCTTCTTCTTAACATTTACTTGCTGTAATCTCTGGTGGAAAGTTCTGGTTGTTCATCCATTTCTGGTCTTTGATCTTGTTCCGGACCTTGAGTTTTACATGCATATCCATTTTTATAGATCTGGCTTGTTTGTGGGCACACAGTTGGTTTCTTGCCTCTCAGGCAGATGCATTGTAACTTTGAAGGAAACACCTCTAATTAGTCAACTTGTAATTATTCACTTCCTTTGATGTGGTTGTAGAGGAGCAGTTGGTCTGTTAATTTTTTTCTCCAAAATGGGGCCTCGGAACGCACACGGGGAGGCATTGCCAGTCATAGTATGGGATGAAGTAGTAAGTCTCATACCAACCTTCCTTAGTTGCCTATTATGACATGCTTAGTGTTACTATTCTGAGCTTCCCTTTATAGACCTTGGTTAACAAGCAGGTAGTGCGTACTGTGCAAATAGTAAAGTCAATTGATATAGCAAATAGCAACAAAGGGCTTTTGGTGATCAGAAGCCACTCCTTTCCTCTAAAAGACACAGCATAAGAGGAGTCAGACATTTGACAGAATATAAAGTTGTACCAAAAGACTTAACTACTACATCCACATTTATATCCTCTGCCGCCGTGTGTATGTGTGTACTCAATTTACATCTACATGTCCACCTTTTTATCTGTTAAACATATCACATGCAGGCCTGCATGATTTGTGGTGTTAGTTTTCTGTGTAAATGAGCCCTTGTTAACTCATAAGACATGTTGTGTATATGCTAGCCTCATATTATTTTCTTTAATGAGTTTTCTGTTAGAAGAAGGGTTAAATGGTTTCCAGTCAATCAGGTGGTGAGGAAGAGATGCTGGAGCTGGGTGAGACACACTTTGAGAGATCCTGTAAACAAATATAACTGGTGTATGCTGACACTGAACCCTATAGGGCCATAGAGACAGAAGGAGTTTAGAGGGATCCAGGCAGAGTAGAGTTGGAGACGTGAGGGGTTGGGGAGGCATGAGAAAGGCCGCACTTGGTAGCAAAAGATAGGAGACTTGGTTGAAGGTGCATTCTTCATTGGTGGAACGAACAAGTGATCAAACTTTACTTTCAAAGGGTCACAAATTTGGTACACTGATCTGTTAAACTCCCATTGTGTTTTTATCAACATAGCATATTATGTTCATATAATTAAAATATGCCTATAAGGTAAAAATGCAAAGTCATGGATGACAAATGTGTACATTCAAATCTGTTTACATGCATTTATACCCACACACTGATACTGACACACACATGTACATATACACTGATTCATACAGAACCACTCATACATACACATACTCACTGGATAAAGAAGATGTAGTAAATTTTAAACAAGAGGGGAAACTGAAACTTTCTAACTGTGGCTGTGTATTTTCAGAGTCATTCTCACAGGGGAGGCAGGTCATGACAGTTCTAGGGAGGTCTCTCCAGCATATGAAGGTGAGCCAAAGAATGATCAAACTTTATTTTGAAGAGTCACAGATTTTGATGCAGTAGGCCTCTTCTTGCATTCAGTCCCTTATGGCACATCTTTCACATAATAATTGTGTATTTATTACAGTGTGTCTTGTGCAGTCACCACAGCAATACAAATGCTTAGTGTGTATACACACACATCCACATCACACCATATGTATAGAGACACACACACCATACACACACACACCATACACACACACACCAACCATACACACACCATACACATACACCATATGTACACACATACACACACACCATATGTATACACACACACACACACACACACACACAGTGAGTCTTTCTAATCTCATTCACGATCGCCATGGGCTGTGATTCCTGTGGCTCCCCATAGCGCAGTCTTACACTATCATTTGGAAAGGAAAGGTGCCAACATAATATATGTACGTATATATATATATTTATATATATATATATATATAAAGACACATGCATGAACTTACACACATGGTAAGATAAAAACATATAGCTTGATTAACTCATTCAGGACCAATGAACTCACCGTAATGATCGCTCTATAAAAAATATCCTTAATTTTTCATGCATAATTCTTGTTTAAAATAAAGTAGTAAAATAAAGCTGCACATGCTTCCTACATCTCCAGTCTCAAAGACCCTCTGCCTACAGAACAAAAGTGGTCAATACAGACAGTGGTTTGTAGTTTTTGGATGGGGGTTCAGGAAGATGGGGCAGTTATAATGAAGGACTTTTTTTTATGCCAGTGATGCAGAGAAGAGGAGAAGGATGTAGAACAAACGAACGAACGAACAAACTTTATTTTTAAAGGGTTAAGAATTGGGCACACAGGCCCGTCTAACATTCTGCCCTTCGAGGTCTCCCTCCATTCTTACATCATTTCATTCACACATCAACTAATATTAAAAGTTAGCAATAGCATCAAAATAATCAATACAAGCACTGGAATGTGCACATTTCTAACTACAGTAAAACATAGTAGTTGTAACAAATCTAAGGAAAAATGGGCGCTATTTATCACATATGTTTTATCTTCTATTGGGGCATATAATCGGTAGCAAGAGGTTGACCAAGAACAAGATAGGAAGATAACATCAGAGAAACTCAGCAGCACCACGATATGGTCAAAGCAACCAGAAGAGCACGCAGCAGGACCCTGTCTCCGTCGGCACCTGAAGCGCTAAAAGAGGATGTAAAGAAGAAGATGCATCAGGCATATGATGCTAGACTCTTATAGACTAATTGGCACTCAGTGGGTGATGTGGTCACTGTCACGCCGGCTACCTTTACTTCCCAGGACAATGGTACCTATTTTAGGCTGTTTTGACGTATCCATCCATTTATTCATTAAAAACAAAACAAAGAATTGACCACGTTCAACCTTCTGTGAGCAGTATCGGTTATAATTGTGGTCCATTTTATTTGTGCCAATTACAGTGATATGTTAACAAAACTAGAGTAAAGTAAAGCAGTTAATTTTTTCTTCATTAGTACAAGTAATTTATTTCCTTATTTTAAAAAATGATTTGGCGTAAAAAACGTGAGGGGGAAAAAAAGAGGCAATGAATATTACCATATTTGCATATCATCTAACCACTTTCAGAACCAGCACAATCAAACAGAGGCAGCAATAACAAGGAGACAACTGACTTATCCCAGTATGATCAAGAACTTGTCTCTTGGTTGAAGAACTTAAACTTTGATGAGGAAACTATAAAAACAGTAAGTTTTCTGTGTGTTAAGAGCTAAGTTTTCTGTTGGCTAGAAGGTAAATTTCCTATTGACTAAAAGCTGGATTGTCTGTTGGCTAAGAACTAAGTATTCTGTTGGCCAGAAGGTAAATTTCCTAATTGCTGAAAGCTGGATTGTATGTTGGCTAACAACTAAGTTTTCTGTTGCCTAGAAGCTAATTATCCTATTGCTAAAAGCTGGATTGTCTGTTGGCTAAGAACTAAATATTGTGTTGGCCAGAAGGTAAATTTCCTATTGCTGAAAGCTTGATTGTCTGTTGGCTAAGAATTAAGTTTTCTGTTGGCTAGAAGGTAAATTTCCTATTGGCTGAAAGCTGTATTGTCTGTTGGCTAAGAATTAAGTTTTCTGTTGGCTAGAAGGTAAATTTCCTATTGGCTGAAAGCTGGATTGTCTGTTGGCTAAGAATTAAGTTTTCTGTTGGCTAGAAGGTAAATTTCCTATTGGCTGAAAGCTGGATTGTCTGTTGGCTAAGAATTAAGTTTTCTATTGGCTAAGAGCCAAGTTTTCTTTCAGCTGAAATCATCAGTCAGCAGGTTGTTTACAGTACATGGCTCTCTTCCTGACACACCTGAAAATCTCTCCTTAGCTGGTTTTTGAGCCCTATGTGTCCTTTTACAGCCAGTGCATCTTTAATGTCCTTATCCACCTTCATTGAGGTCGACCTGTGCCTCTTTCTCTAGAAACTACTCTCCATCACTGGTTTTCCAAGCCATTATGCCACTTAACATGGCCAAAATCCCTCAGTTTTGGGACAGGATGTTGTTTACAAGTTAGTTCTCTTTGACGTTCAGATCATATAGGATGTTTTTGTTTTCTTGGTCCATACTATTCTAAGAATTTTTCTGTTACATTTCAATTCAAAAGCAAAAGATTGTTTTTTTTTCAGTGACTAAGTAAGAGTCTGTGACTCAACATCTGTAAGTTAATAGCTGAAAGCTGAAGATACATCATGATGCTTTGACCGATCAAAGTCCAGACACAAATGACTATACCAGGACATTACACCAGACTTTTACAGTCATGTGAATGCAGAAATCCTGCCTGGTTGGATACAGCCTTTGTGCAGATTGTGTGTGTTGGGCTATGAAAGTCCAGACACAAATGACTATACCAGGACATTGCACCAGACTTTTACAGTCATGTGAATGCAGAAATCCTGCCTGGTTGGATACAGTCTTTGTGCAGATTGTGTGTTTTGGGCTATGAAAAATTGAGATGATCACACTTTTCTTCTATAAAAGTCATTGCCCTGTAATTATTGTGTGGTTATACCAAACTTGTATACACATTGTGCTGACACTGTTGTTCCTGCTGCAGGTGTGTGAGGAAGAGTACTCACTACATGACCTCTTAGAACTGGTCACTTGGAGGGATATCAGTCAGCTGAAGATACGGTCAGTTTTTGTTGAGAGTTTTTTTGTTACGCTTTACATGTTTATGTTTTTGTTACGCTTTACATGTTTTTGTTTTTGTTGCTCTTTACATGTTTATGTTGTTGATACTCTTTAGATGTTTATGTTTATGTTACTCTTTAGGCATTTTTGTTAATCTTTACATGTTTATGTTTTTGTTACTCTTTATGTGTTTATGTTTTTGCTACTCTTTAGGTGTTTATATTTTTGTTACTCTTTGCGTGTTAGTGTGTGGATGTTACTCTTAACATGTTTATATTTTTGTTACTCTTTAGGTGTGACTGTTTTTGCTACTCTTGACATATTCCTGTTTTTGTGTTACTATATACACATTATTGTTTTTGTTACTGCTTGCATTTTGCTGTATTATTTTTTTTTAATTCTTTTTTTTTTTACAATAATGTTTTTGTAACTGTTTACATGTTAATATTTTTTTTACTCTCTATGTGCTACTGTGTTTGTTAATATTTACATGGTATTGTTTTTGTTTTTTTTACTTCTTACATGTTAATGTTTTTGTTACTCCTTGCACTATACTGTTTTGTTACTATTTGGATATTAATATTATTGTTACTCTGTTTATGTAAACAAATGTTTTTACTCTTTACATATTAAGTTTTTTTTTTTTTTTTTTTCAATTTTTACAAGTTCAGTTTCTTTTACTCTTTGCATTTCTATTTTCCAAAGAAGTTAACAGAGCAGGCTGAGAGATTAATCTTCGTACATAGGCAGCACATACAGTACTGCCAAGTAATTTTACTTCACATTTACTTCTCTGATGTGCGGTTGTGATGACATTTTACATCACATTCACATCTCTGGTGTGCAGTAATAAGGTTACTTGACATTAACTTCTCCAGTTTTAATTACTTTACTGTAACTTTTTTGGCATGCAGTGATTACTTTGTACTTTGCATTTATTTCTCCAGGGTGTAATGATTATTTTTTTATGTCTAGTGGGCTGTTACCACTTTTTAACTTTATAAAAATGTCTGCTGTGTGCAGTTATTACTGTTTACTTTATGTCTACTTTTGCAATGTGTGAAGTATACTTTATGTTAACTTCTGCAGTATGTGAAGTATATTTTATGTTAACTTCTGCTCTGTGTGAAGTATACTTTATGTTAACTTCTGCAGTATGTGAAGTATACTTTATTTTAACTTCTGCTGTGAGTGAAGTATACTTTTTGTTAGCTTCTGCAGTGTGTGAAGTATACTTTATGTTAACTTCTGCAGTATGCTGTGATTACTGATTACTTGACATTTACTTCTGTGGGATTATGATTACTCTTTACTTGTCATTTACTTCTGTGGGGTTATGATTACTTTTTACTTGACATTTACTTCTGTGAGATTATGATTACTGTTCACTTTACACTTGTCTAGTAAACAGTAATGATAATTTCTGCTGATTTGATAACTTATAATAACAAAGGTGTTTGATGTCCTCTCATCAAGGGGTGGACTCAGATGTCGTTTATGGAGGGCAGTGCTGGACTACCGGACCAAAGACCTGGACAATGGATAGAACTGGCAGAGACAGTCTGTGGCTTCATTTACACAAACACTGTTGCCTTTTTAGAATGTGTTAAACCGTGTGTGTTGGTTTTGTAACCAGTTGTGCCTGTAGGCCTGAAATGAGATCCACTGAAGCGTGTACAGCTCTCAGATCCTCTCTCCCCTGTGTCTTTTCCTTGGATTGAGCGTATTTATTTATTTATTTATCTGTTGTATGAGAGGTGATAAAGTTATTGTCATCGCAAAGAAGAAACCTCTTTTACAATTGCTTTCGACTGTTTGTGATTTTTTTTTTTGGATGAAATGGTTTGAAGTTAGTATGTTTATCTTGGGGAGTATATCTCCTATGGTAAATTGTTTTCTGTAAATGGATTTTGTTTAAAGTAAATGACATGGGGCAAATAGTGAATGAACATTTCTTTCCTGGGAAAAAAAAGAGTAAATATATATTCTTTACTGGAAGATTCTGTGCAGCGAATATTCTTCCTTTGGAGATGGTAAGAAAATAAGATTTCTTATGGATAGATAGTGGATAAATTACTGTTGTTTGGCGTAATAGTTGGAGAATTTTTATATGGGGGGGGGGGGGGGGGGGGGGGGGGTAATTCTTTTTTGGATGATTGGTGAATTCTTAATTTAGGATGAGGAGAAAATTAATATTTTATAATTTGAAGATGTAGGTGAGAAGCTGTTTTTTATGAGACGGTAATAGGTGAGTGACCTCCCAGAACTCTGCAGTTCACCTTCCTAAACTTTAGAGTTCACACCCTCATTTTGAACACTTATTTTCTTTAAAACTAGATAGTTCACCAGACTCCAGTTCTTCTCCCCATACTCTGCAGTTCTTCTCTCCAGACATTTCAGTTTATCTTCTCAAAGTCAGCGGCTCATCTTCCCAACCCTACGGTTCAGATTATCTCCCCAAACACAATACTTCATCTGTCCATGTTGTACAGTTCATCTTCCTAAATTCTGGTTAGTTTCCTCAAACTCTCTAACTAGTTTTCTCAAACTCTCTAACTAGTTTTCTCAAACTCTCTTACTAGTTTTCTCAAACTCTTTAACTAGTTTTCTCAAACTCAACAGTTCCTCTCCCCAAATTTATTTTTTCAAACACTACTTTATTTTTAGTCCCTTCAAATGCTACATTTGATCTCCCCCAAACTCTGCAGTCAGTCTCTTCAAACACTACAACTTATCTTCAAAAGCTCTATATTTAGTTCTTTCAAATGCTACAGTTGATCTCCCCCAAACTCTGCAGTCAGTCTCTTCAAACACTACAACTTATCTTCAAAAGCTCTATATTTAGTTCTTTCTAATGCTACAGTTGATCTCCCCCAAACTCTGCAGTCAGTCTCTTCAAACATTACAACTTATCTTCAAAAGCTCTATATTTAGTTCTTTCAAATGCTACAGTTGATCTCCCCCAAACTCTGCAGTCAGTCTCTTCAAACAATACAACTTATCTTCACAAACTTTATTTTTAGTCCCTTCAAATGCTACAGTTGATCTCCCCCAAACTCTGCAGTCAGTCTCTTCAAACACTACAACGTATCTTTAAAAGCTCTATATTTAGTTCTTTCAAATGCTACAGTTGATCTCCCCCAAACTCTGCAGTCAGTCTCTTCAAACACTACAACTTATCTTCAAAAGCTCTATATTTAGTTCTTTCAAATGCTACAGTTGATCTCCCCCAAAGTCTGCAGTCAGTCTCTTCAAACACTAAAACTTATCTTCACAAACTTTATATTTAGTCCCTTCAAATGCTACATTTGATCTCCCCAAAACTCTGCAGTCAGTCTCTTCAAACACTACAACTTATCTTCACAAACTTTATATTTAGTCCCTTCAAATGCTACATTTTATCTCCCCCAAACTCTGCAGTCAGTCTCTTCAAACACTACAACTTATCTTCAAAAGCTCTATATTTAGTTCTTTCAAATGCTACAGTTGATCTCCCCCAAACTCTGCAGTCAGTCTCTTCAAACACTACAACTTATCTTCACAAACTTTATATTTAGTCCCTTCAAATGCTACATTTGATCTCCCCCTAACTCTGCAGTCAGTCTCTTCAAACACTACAACTTATCTTCACAAACTTTATATTAAGTCCCTTCAAATGCTACATTTGATCTCCCCCAAACTCTGCAGTCAGTCTCTTCAAGCACTACAACTTATCTTCACAAACTTTATATTTAGTCCCTTCAAATGCTACATTTGATCTCCCCCTAACTCTGCAGTCAGTCTCTTCAAACACTACAACTTATCTTCACAAACTTTATATTTAGTCCCTTCAAATGCTACAGTTGATCTCCCCCTAACTCTGCAGTCAGTCTCTTCAAACACTACAACTTATCTTCACAAACTTTATATTTAGTCCCTTCAAATGCTACAGTTGATCTCCCCCAAACTCTGCAGTTGTCTCTTCAAACACTACAACTTATCTCCCCAGACACCCCATAAAAGGATTGTTTGTTGGTGATAAAAGACGCCATATTGTGATATTTTGTTTCCAAGCACTAGTAGATTCTCTTTGTGATTTATTAATCTGATATTGTGTGTTGATGTTTTTACCATGTCACCAGCACTTGGAGTTTTATTGCATGCTATGTTATTCTGATTGATGTAGACAGTAGTTCCCAAATCATTGTTCTGTATGAGTCATTCTTGTACACACCCCCTCCCCCCCCTTTTTTTTTCTTTCCTGAAATGTTTATGATTCAACTGGTTGATAAGAAACACATGAAAAACTGGGAAACAGTTTATGAAAACTGTTTTTCTTCTATAAGAATTTGAAATAATTAGAACACAACAATATTTTTTTACAATTCATTGCTGGGCACATTTAACTCTCATCTGGCAGTCACAGTGTGCAGTTAGGAGTTATGCAAACAGAAAGAACATGTGGTTAGTGTTGTGTGCTATCTGAGTTACACACTAATCAGCACACTACCAAGTGTCCAGCAGGTGCAACTTTCGCTCCCTCTCACTAGAAGCAGGACTCGACGACAGTAGTTCAGTCACATAGCATATTTATTCGACAGAACACACGAGGGTATACATAAGCCCTCATATCAACAAAACTGCAGAGACATAGACATTGATCCCAATTGACATTCGCACATAGTCCTTTTAGTCCTCACTCGCTCTCTCTCATCTTGTTGCCGACCTCTTCCTGACCACTACAGCTCCAAAGGACTACAGCATTCCCACAACTCTGGGCACACCCTACCGCTAAATAGGACGAATTCTCATATCCACTGGACCGTAATATTATTTCAGCAGACAACCACGGCTGACTGGATACATACTTCCCTTGCCGTTCTCCAAAAGCACACAGCACGTCATCCTGTCGAAGGACCCAAGACTGACGGGACTTCTAACACAAGTCCCCTTTAGCACACAGAAAGTACTCTCATAATCACTCTGTCCCTTCACACACTATTACACTCTCCCAAATCAGCACGCAACATCATCTCCTCCCCCTCTCCCAACTGACAACTAACTGAAATAAGTGACGTCTATCCACAACCTTCTGTCTCCTGTAACTTCAGTCACTCTGATGATCTTCCCTGCTGTAATGTCACATTTCCCAGTATATCTTCTCTCTCTGCCTCCCTTTGTCTCTTTTCCCCTGCAACTTTCTCACCATCACAGTGTGTGCTAGTTTTTTTTTTTTTTTTTTTTTAGTTTTCTCTTTCTCATATCATGACCCAAAAATGCAGACAGTCTCCTCTTGATGTGGGCATCCATTCTCTTTGTGAGTCACTTTCTTCAAAGACATCTTTATTACTTTTTTTTCTTTTCAAATCTGTCTAGAGGGTTCTTATTGTGCATCTCTAAAACTACATAGTTTCATTAATTGGCCAAATGTTCATTGATTCACTTTTGTAAAGCAAGATAGGATTTTTTTAATGTAGCTCTTAAGAATTTGTCGGGTCTTGGCTAAGTCGATGTGAGCGCTTCGTAATGCTGGGATGCCGGGTTCAATCCCAGCTGCGGGCCATGCGCCTTGTGTTAGTTTTGACAGTGGTATCAAGAAAGCCGACGCCCAGAAAGCAATGGCAAACTACTGGACGTAAATTTGCCTAGAAAAACCACACAACAGCTAGGGGCTGTTGGGGTTGGTTCTGCAACGTCCTGTAAAGGATACGCAACTAACCTTTTTAACTACTGGACGTAAATTTGCCTAGAGAAACCACACAACAGCCAGGGCTTGCTAGAGCTGGTTCTGCAACGTCCTGTAAAGGATACGCAACTAAACTTAAGAATTCTCTTTCTCACCTCAGTTGACAAAGAAAGATTGCAAATATGTTCTTTATTTTATGGAATATTGCCTTTGCTTCAGCTATTCTACATTTGCTTCATTTTACATTAATGTAATTTTTTTTCAAAATCACCTGGTTAAATCCATAACATGTTTCGGCAATATAATGTCAAATAAAATGTTTGTTCCCTCATTATTTAGAAAGCAAAAACGTTTTCTTAAATCTACTTAATTGTAACCAAACACAAATTGTTGATGGCCTTTGAATTTTTTCACAGCGTCGTCACCTGCTCTTTTGCACAACATTGTCTGGGAACTTCTGAAGTAGACTGAGATGTGTTAGGTTGTCATTGGTTTTAGTGTTCAGATTGTGTTGATGAGACTTTTAACCAGAGCATAATTTGATGTTTTACAATGAGATGTTTTTGTTTTGTTGTTAACAGTTCCATATGTATCACTCTATTAGGCTGTGAGCACTCGGTGTGTCAGGATGTGGATAATTACAACTATGTAAAGGTTTTGGTCAGTTTCCATTATTTAGTTGTGTGATGTGATTTTGTTTGCAAGCTGTGCTGGTTGTTTGAAGTGGGTGTGTTGCTGAGTTACTCTAGGGTTGTATTGAGTGTTTATGTTAGTGATGCATTATGTTTTTTGTTTTTTTTTAATTAAGTGTTGGTGAGGTATTCTGGTTTTATAAAGTGTTAATGATTTCTTTTGGTTGTATGAAGTGAATATGTTCATGA